TTCGATGTCAACACTGACCCTGCTGACTTCCTCAATGGATTAGAGTAGGCTCTCCGAGGGTTTGGATCGGTCTCACGAACTACTTCAACGATTAACGACAAGAGACGCGGGTCATTTGACTGCACCCTTCAGCCAGCCGAGGCAGAAGAAGTCCTAAGGATCCTCAACGGCATCCCTGATTACGAAAGCTTACGGGACTTCAACTGTATGACAGACCATGAAGCCGCTTTCGTGATCGAGGAGTTCCACAAGAAGAAAGGCATGATGACGTCGACATGGGTGATGATGCGGAAGCTCAACCGGGACTAGGGTCCACGACCCATCCTGGAGAGGCAGATGCAGAAGAGCCTCAGGATGACTTTGCCGATGCCGCCAGAGAATCCGAAAGATCTGGAAAACAGCAGCTCCTGGATGCGCTGGGAAATCTCTTTGCTGTATCTGAGTCCGTGAATGTTTGTATATTCTGTGGAAGTACAAAACATGATCATGCCCATTGCACTGACCCGAAGAAGGCCGACATCAACAAGGTGCTAAAGGGCATTCGGACATCATTGGAGGACGACAGCTCCGGATCTGACGTGGACATGGAGGCCGAGGGTGGTGAATGGAAAGGGGACGCTGAGGAAGCTGGACAACAAGCCACTGAAGAAGAACCAGCTGAAGCCCGCACTGGGGAGTACCATTGGTACGACACTGTCCTATACATGTCCGAAGTGGGTGACATGGACGAAGCAGGGAAGTTCTGCATTAGTGGTCGAAACATCACCGAAGAAGGACCCCGAACCAGGAGTGAACTCGACGATGTCATTCGTGACGCAATTGTTCGTGGAGGCGGAGATGTTTGGAAAGTTCCAGACTTCATGGTGGTGTACACTGATGCCAACATCCGCAAGCCCATGTACAAAAGAATCGAGGCCCCTGCAGACGGATTCCTCAAAATCGTGCCAAGCACAGGATGTTCCTTCTACAACTATGAGTTCTACAACGGAGTCGAGATCGACATCAACTACAGATTCGGACAAAGAAACGAACTCGAGCCCTATGAGAAGGACGTAAGCACTGCCCTGAATCGCGTCCTGAGGCATCACGCGGGCAAAGTCATGGACAGGGTCCATCTTGGTCTCAAGTACGATGATGCAGGCTGGGTTCCGATCGACGACCTCCTCAAGTATGAGAACGTCTGGAAACAGGACTCGTCAAGATCCCCACATGTGTCCCTAGCCCCACGAGGAAAGAGCGATGACAAACGAGCATGGGACAAACAGGAGGCAGGTTATCGAATGAGCGTCCTGTTCAGGGTCATGTTCCATTGCGCTCGATATGGGCGTCGAGTCCGTGAACAAATTCTTGCTTTTGGCATCTACCCGGACATCGACAGGAACAGTGAGACATGCAGGGCAAACCGTGTCGATCGCAAGACAAAAATTCCAGAGGAAGGGTTACTTCTGTACCCTGTGGCCGTTCGAGCACCAACAGGTCACAAGCACAGCCTGGTCAATGACGTCACTTTGAGAGCATCCCTCTTGTCCCATCCGATTGCTCCGAACACAGTGATATTGCTTCCGGTGTGTTTTCACATTACCATGAAGGATCGATTGAAGAGCATTTGGAAAGAGGGACTTATCCCTGGCGGCTTGGATGGCAACACGAGGATTTTCGCGTTTTTCAACCCATATGTCCCTTGGGATCAACGATCCTGGACTGTCACTAAAAGCGTGGATACTCGCCTGGGAGGATTTGTGCGCCTCTACATCCCAACCGAAACCCTCATGAGGGACTTTGGCGGCCGTTTGACCGATTCAGGCCAGGTCGTCACTGATCAAATTGTACCTTTCTCAAAGATCCGTGGAGGATGGATCCAAGATGCAAATTGCCGATGGCATCGCCTGATCGTTCCATCGGGCGAAGAACAAGTCGTCAGGACCGGATCTGTCAAATTCGGATTGCGCAACAGTGCGTCAATGCTTCCGGCCAGCCCTACGATGAAGAGACGATGGAAGTCATGACCATCTTGAGACGCTTCGAAAACCGTCAGATCATCGAAGGAGGCAAAGAGCAGTACGAAGCACGATTGAAGTTGGTGGACTACATCCTTGAAAGAAAAGCCGTGACCGAGGCTGGATGTAGGTTCTGTCCGCATTGTCTCACCGAGACGCCCATGAAGTTCTCAAGCTGCGTGGGATGTTGGACCCCATTGGAGAGCCACGGCATCAGGCCATATCGTCTCGATGATCCAGTTGATGAAGAAGACGAAGATGAGGCCACCAAGAAACAGATCGATGAAGAAATTCGCAAGGCGAATGAATTAATGTTCAAGGACACTGTACACGAAGCTCAGGAAAACGCTGAGACCCGAAGTCAGTTTGACTTCGACCCCGCAGAGGTCGACTATGGCGAAGAAGATGAAGAAATGAAGGAGGAAGAGGAATCCGAGGACGTCCAGGTCGAAATCGATGAACAAGAAGATGAGGTAGACGTCCAACAGGAAGAGGTCGACAGGGAGACGGAGGAGAGAACCAACCAACTCCCCGCCTGGGCCCTGAACTTGGATGCCGGCTGCAAGAGAATGCCAGTCAAGGGGCTCGTCAACATTGACGTGTCTGAGGCTGCCGCTCAGCTGTTTGACAACGCAGTGATCTCCAAGATTCTGCAGATGTACAAGCACTACTGTACTACGACCAAAGGATCATGATGTCACCAGACGACTACTACAACAAGATGGTGAGCAACAAGCTTGGTCGACTAGACCTTGATGGCATCTGCCCCTATACTGGGGAGAACGACGACGGGTCGTTAAGGCAGCCGAGCACCGAGCAGCTCATGGAATGGTACGATCTGAAGGCGGCACCAATCATGGTCAAATGGCGAAAGATTGTTCGGCGGCAGGCCGAAGAATATGATGAAATACGTGGTGAACACGCTCGAGATGTACGAGAAGATGATGGAGTTCCTCGTTCACGCCGGATATACTCCGGACAGGATGAAGTTCCTCACTCCGATGAGCAAGATGAAAGGAACCAACGAGGAGAAAGGAGAAATGAGGAAGATGATCAGTGACTTCGTGTCACGATTGCTTAAGGGCACATTTCCATCTTCCGAACACTACACGTACTTCAGGTCGGGGGACCATGGTTTTCCCGGATGTCAAGAAATTCCTGCATTCACGGTGTACCTCGCATTCCGCGAGACACAACGCAGTGAAGAACTTCTGATTGCCGCGCAACAATGCGGAGTTGTTCTTCCTGAAATGTTTGTGGCAAAGATGGCATACTCATTGTCGTACGCTGAGCAGGAGGCCCAACGTGGAAGATTGACATGGAAATCGACCATGGCTCCGAACCTTGACCCAAAGGTGACTGAAAACGTATTTCGGAGCATTGCGGACAATGAAGGCGCCCAACGAGCAGCTGAAGCATCAAGGACCGCTGCGTCTGGTCACGGACAAGGTCCCAAAGCAGCGGTGCCGAAGCCACCTCAAGCAAAAGGGGCTGCTTCTGAAGCTTCATCATCCTCATATGCTGCTCCATCATCCGCTCCGGCACAAAAGGCAAAGTTGCCACAGAAAGCAATGCCTGCCAAAGCCGCACCTAAGCCATCAAGACCTCCACCTAGCGAGAGGCCACAGCAGACGCCCCAGTTGAAGAAGAAGAGAACTGACCAGTGATCACTACGGGGCTATGTGGCGCATATCATTTTCGTTGGCTACGGATGATGATGATCAATGACTTCTGAGAGGACTCTGAGCGTGGCTAGTGTACAGTCATCTTAGATTACCTTTCACGTTAATTCCCAATCAATTAGTTCACTTTCTTTTGTACAGAGTAGATTTGCTGAAAGCTGTTTTGCTATCTACGTAGATGCGACACGTTAGCTGAGTCCAACGGACAGCCGACGTTGTCAAGTTTACATGGTAGTTAGCGTAGCTTGACGTGGGTTCATCTTTGTACAGCATGATACCTCTACCCACAAAGTCGCCACGAAGTTGGCATGGGGATCTCCGATTCTGAGTCCAACGGACTGATGAGGAGTGAACCATTAAGTACAGACTTTTGCGGTAGTTGTAGCGTGCACAATATCATTTCCTTGTTCCCTCTCTCGTGCCCAAATTTCAAGCAACTTTGGGCATGGGGGGTGTTAAAGGGAACTGCAAGGTAGTAAGCTGTGACATGTCATCAATCACACATGTCCACAGCTCCGCATGAAACCGCCAATGCATTTTGGCTCAAGACCCCATTTGCCAGGTAAAAAGACTGCACCGTCTGACACTGCATGTCGCCTGCGTTGGTTAACTAGCACATCGAGTATCTCAACTACAACTGCACCCCGAACAAGGGTAAATGAGTTCACATATATATAATATTATGATTGTTGTTGTTTTTCTTGTTTCTATTGTTGTTATATTATTGACCAACGCATTTAAGGGTACAATATTTTCAAACCAACCCACATCATCGATGATCGCTATGACAATCAGATGGCCATTGGGCCATGCCTCTGTACTCAGCGGTCCATCATCACTTTGGAACAATGGCTGCAGGGCGAGCAAAGCTGCAGCCCGTACCTCGTTTGTTCCAGGCAGCAAAGGCATCATGTCTAGTGGCCGTTCACAATCTGTTAATCAGACTTTGGAATTCCAAATTCAATGCCTTGTTTTTGATTTTTTCTGCAAGCAGTTTGGAAACATACGCGGAGAGGAATCATCCGTTAGACAAATTGTAAATGATCAAGTGACTGACAACGAAAGCAAGGCAGACGCAGTCAGTGCAGCTTTTCACATGGGTCGCGTAGCGATTGGCTGAAGATCTATCAGCGGGCATTGGGCCACAAAGGCCATGAAAAGGAAGTGTCAAGCCATGCATGCCAATGAAATGCATCAACATTCGTCCTGTTCTTTTGTTGGCTTGCATGGCTGTGGCACATCTGTGCGATGGTATATGGTGATTAAGGTAGGAACTGTCATCCCAATCAACGCATGCTGATTTGACAACTTTCCATAATCCGTTCCTGCCTCAATCCTACGCCATTCGATCTGACCGTCAGCATGAATGAATCGGCCAAAGCTGCTCCTAAGAGGAAATTCCGCTGGTGAAAACCTGGGCTCTGGAGATCTAAATGACTTCGCATTGTGAGCTACTTGGATTCCTACACCATTCTGCATATGCCACCCACGCTTCTCGCAGAGGCTCTGCAGGTATGGCAAAACAGGATCATTACCATCTAGCATCACTCCGGGAATTCAACGCATGTTGAAGACTTCACCAAAGGCTTAGCCGTCCGGGCTTTGAACACCTGCTTGACAAACTGCGGGGAGTAGGTGATACACCAAGATCCCATCTCCATGATTTTCCGAAGGTGACTCAAGTCCATTTCCTTCGTGCCAGCATCAACCCACATGTTTTCAGTAGCAGTCCATTTCAGAGCTGTATTTGGTCTTCGAAGAACACTTCGCATCCATGCAATGGAAAATGCCAATGACTTCTGAGAACCGAAACTGCTGGTATCCGAATTCCCCTTGTCATGGACATCCTTGGCATCCACCACGGTTACCATGCTAATGGCATCGGAGGCTGCATCAGCTTCCTTCTCCGTGAGGTCCTTCACACGAACCATGGCAATCATGCCTCTAAACAGTTGCCCAACATCCATAGCTTCTTCTGCTGCAAGGGTTTCTGCACTGTACGTAGACCTGCAAACTTGCGGAATTCGATGCGAGCGAGCATCCAGGATGTTGAAAGAACCTTGTTTTCCTTGAAGCATTGTGTCTTCACAAAGCAAACAGAAATAGCAAGCTTGAGAGTAAACACGCTCTGTAGGGGAACCAACTGCTGATCCGTTCAGCTTGACATTGCCCAGGGCCGCATCTGAAACAATGCAAATACCCGCCGACATGTAGTCGATGGGCCTGAACACAAGCTCAAAGTTGCCAGTGCGCTTGAACTCTCGGACAGCTGCATTGGCGCGGATCAAGGTTCCTATTGTTGGAGGATTTTCACCTTGAAGAGATGAAACACAGAATGACATGTCAAATCGAATCTGTGCCACCAACCATTGCAAGCTGCCTAGAAGGGCACGCAACTGTTTGAGTTCAAACTTGTCCAGTGCATCTTCAGGGTTTGATTTCCGATGCTTCGCAATCACAACCTCAGTCAAATTCGTATGGTATGCAGTCATACTCAAACGTATAGTATGGTCTTCTGCACGGCGGATGTGTTTGCCACACCATGTAAAGCTTCCAACATCCAGCGAACCGAAACCGAGCTCTGCGCCAATCGCACGCAATGATTGCTCAGCTTTGCTGTTGCCAGTGAATAACAAATCATCCACGTGTGCCACGATCATGCCAGCAAGTCGATCAACTCCATCAACAATCTCCCAAAAGAACCAAGATGCCGCATCAATGATACTGCGGCGCCATCCATGAGATCGCATCGATCGAGACAGCCGCAACCACCATTGTCTGGGTGCATCAGACAATCCAAAAATCCCTTTCAAAACTCTGCAGAGCTGTCCAGGACCAATTGGTAAGGGTGGAGACATCTTCTCCTTGGTCTTGGTGAGATAGAGCTCTCGATCAACATAGGGATCGCCCTTTAGAAAGGCAGACTTCACATCAGCAGATATCAAAGTCCACAAATGATTCCATGCAGCGATGGCGAACAAAAGGTGTTGTGAAAGACGAGACCCTGTTGGTGAATCTCGTCTCAAAGTGCCCTCAAGATTTGCACGATCTTGAAAGCCAGGCGCCACCAATCTGCTGCTGGCCTTCACTGGCAGTGGATGACTCTTGGTGCGCAATCCATCATTCTTGTCTGTGCAGACAAATCGAGGCACCAATATGCGATCCAGTTCTTTGCGCCTTGCAAGGTCCTTGCGAACTCGATCACTTTCTTGAACACTAAGAACTTGAATGGCCTGGTTGTCAATGTATGCATTCCAACCAGTCAAGGCTGCATCTCCCCAGAGTTTCTTCTGCTCACTGTCCATCTTGCTCCACTGATACTCCTTGCGAGCTGCTTGAACTGCAAAGGGCGCTGACCAGAGGGGAGTTGAGCACCGATGGACTGAAGCATGTCCCAATCTCTTTGACACATGAAAGACCATCGACCATCCCACGTTCCATGATCATGTTCTTCTGCTTCAAGAGGATCTCTACGATCCAAATCGGCCAGACATGCCAATCTCAGCAAAGGATGCACATCTGTACGCTCAGCCGCAAGAGCTTGGATCTGATCATGAGTCATCGTCAGACCCGCACAAACTTCAAACGTTGCTTGCTCATCAGCCGGAACTGGAACTTCATGAGCTGGTACATGTTCACCTTGCTCACCTGCATCAGTGGGAGAAACTTGCCCGGGTGACAAGGCATCGTCTGCAGCACGCTTCTGCCCACGAGCTTCATCATCAAGTTGTCGCGCTCTCGCAAGAACATTGCTTCGCAGGGACGGTGTTGGAGAGCTTGGCACGGTAACCTGAGAGGCTTGCAGGATCAAATCAGGGAGAGGAGTTCCAGGCTGAGCTCCAAGAGGTGTAGAGGCAATGGAAGGCATTGACTGCTGAGCTGACATGGATGCACCTGAAGAGACTTGACCGCTTGCAGCTGGTTGCAGTGCTGCGACAACCTCTCCTGGAGAAAGTCCATCGGTACCTCGGCCAGAAAGTCCAAGGCCAAGTCCAACTGAGGGATCAAGTCCAATTCCATCCTCAGGTGGTACCGCTCCAGGGTTGACGGAAGGTTGCTCGCGGTTAGATGCATCTCTAACTGCAGCTTGTATCACCTCATCAATGGCAGCTTCCCACGATCCTGCAGCGATACTTTCCAAAGATGAAGCCTTTCTGACATGCTCTGTTGGGCATTTGGTCAACTGACCTCTGAAAGACACAAAGCAATTGGATGAAAACTCATCACCATCTCGTCCTTCACGAGCCACCAACAAAGCTGGGCCATGCCATCGCTTGAGTTGAAGGCGACGGCGTGACGGAGTTCCAGGTGTTCCTCCATCTTTTCTCGACTGGTATTTCTGAGCTCTCCAAAAGAACACCAAATCTCCTGGTTGGGGAGCTTCGACAGCCACGCTTTCGCGTGAGCGAGCCAATTCTGGCTGTCGCAGCCCACGACTGTAGTGCAATCGCAGCATGGCAAGGCGGGCTGTCTGACGAACTGCAAGCTGCCGTTCAAGACTTGTAGAGCTTTCCAGCAAGGAGTGTTCCACCAGCCTTTTGGAAAAGTTGTTGAGGACATCACCAACAGGAGTTGGAATCCTTCCAGTCACAAGTTGAATGGGCGCCACACCATGCTCGTTGATGTCGCTGTTGTATGCCATCACCGCCTCACCAACTGCTTCTTCCATCTCTGCAAAAGTTGAAACAGCATTGGATTGAGTGATAGCACCAACCAAGGCTTTTAGGGTTCCACCACTCCTCTCAGCCACACCATTCTGCCAGGGAGCACCAACGCCAATATGATACAGGTATATCGACTGAGAGTCACACCAATCACCAAACTCAGCGCTGATGAATTCACGTCCTTGGTCAGCTACTATGGTTTGCGGCCAACCCAAAAGCGGTTGCCAGTGGGTCTTCAAAAAATGAATCACTGAAGCAGTGGATTTGTCCTTGATGACCTTGGCAGCTTGATAGCGTGAAACATTGTCTGTGGCATGAGCTATCACATAGCTCCTTCGCAACGAATCTTCAAGCAAAACCAAATCCACATGAATCTGCTGTCCAACTTCTCGAGGAGGGGGCAATCCACCAGGAGGTCGAGGCTTTGGACTGCGACGCTCTTTGCATATGGAGCACTGCAGATTCTTCGCTGCTACAACTGCGGCATGTGGAGCTCCAGAAATCAACAAAGCACGAGCCAGTCTCTTTGGTGACCGATGCCCTGTATTGGTGTGCAAACGATACACAGCATTTTTGATCTCTGAGGGAATCACCAGCTTTTCGTCAAGCGGACCAACTTCCAAGGAATCATCCGATTCACCAGCCTCAAGTCCAAGGGCTTCAAAGTCCACAAGATTCACCTCAACTTCATCATCTTCGGGTGATTCTTTGGAGTCGGGCTGATTCTGGAAACACTGCAAAGTCTCAAAGTCAAACTGATCTTGAAATGCCTTGATCACTGCCTCAGAAAAGGCTTTGGAGTAGTGGCCAGCCGCGCTGGTGATCTTGCTTCCACCAATCACAGGCTCATGTTCATGGTCTCGTTGACAAGTCCGACCAATGAAGTGTGATATCAAAGCCTGCGCCCGTGTGACCAGTTTTGTGCTTTTCCTATGCAGTCCACCTCCAGGTCCTTTAAGTCCAAATCGGCACATGTCCACATCAATGGAAAGGCAGCCAGGACGTTCCAAGAACTTCTTCAAGCAAGGTTGCTTCCAGGCCAGTGATGGCTTGGGATTTTCCATGAGAAAATGTCGACCTTGGCGTGATTGTAGGTCGGCCACTTCAATCGCAAACTCAATGAGCTCCAAGCTAGCTGCACGCATCGCCGATAAATCCAACGGCGGATTCAAATGGTGCAGTGGAGACCAAGGCCCACAAGGAAATGCCAGGATCACCGCATAGGGCTTCTCCCTGCGCAGTCGCTGCAAAGCTGCTTGCCGATGAGATTTCAAATGAAAATCCCATCCAGAGGCCAAAGTCAAATTTTCACCAACGTTGAGGCCAGCACGAACAGCTGCTTTTGCAATGGGCTCTGTGTCGGTGTAGACCTCTGTGACAAAAGGATTGGGCAGATCTATCACAGTGACAAAGCTTTCATTGGCAAATTCCTTCATCTCAGACAGCCATGTAGTATGGAAGATCTCATTGATCTCAGCAGCATTTGTGGAAACAGCCAATTGGTCTCGGCGATGACGCTGCCATGCCTGGGTTATCATCTGACGAACTCCAGGCTTCACATTGGCTGCTGTTTGAATCTTCACCTCGGCATGTTTGGAGGCATCATCGCTTCCATGGTGGAATCGTCCATCGCTGGACCATTGGGCAGCTGATCGGGCATTGGCATCATCACCTGAGGCATGTGCTTGAAGCGCTCCTCGATGTGAACCATGACTTGGGCCATCATCGTCTGCAGTCGTTGATCTTGCTCCAAGATTGCGCTGTGCAACCTGCTGTCCAGCATGGTCGACATCTGAGCTTGGGTCATCAATTCCGGTGACATTGACCTCATGGATTCGACTGCTGGTTGCTCCGATCCGGCTGCCTGTGAAGTCAACTCCCTGGTTGTAGACACCTCGGGCTTTGAAGACCGTGTTGAAGCTTTTGCGGCGGTCTTTGGTTCTGCATTTCGAATTGTGGCAACCACAGGGCGAATCTTGGCTTGTAGCATGGGCACGGTGTCGGACTCCTTGACTTCCACATCGCAAAGGAGGGCCAACTTGATCAAATCGGTTTTCAAGGTTGGAAGCCCGCCGCGAGGACCAATGAGCTCCCTTGCGGCCTCCATCTGCTGGCCTTGTTTCTTCTCCTTTTCCACACTCATTCGAGCTTCGGCCAAAGCTGCTGTCTTCAGTTTGGTGGAGACACCACGAGTTGCTTTGACAGCCATCAAGCCGCTCAGAATGGAGTCCTCCATGAAGGCAAACTTCCAGCCGACTCGATCTCGAAACCGAGACATTTCCAGGAGGTTCTGAGACGTGAACAAATCCATGTCTCGAGCTCGACGCCAATCATCCGGCACCATAACCAGTTGATCGGCCATGGTCTTTGCCTGAAACTTCCAATCCTCGACCGAGGCGATCGAAGGGTATGGAAATGGCAAGAACCGCAAATAGGATCGCTGCAAAAGCCACAACTGCAAACTTTGGGCGTGCCAGGCGTACCTTCCGAGGAGCCTCATGATGAAGCGGCGCCATCGGTACACTGCGAAGCCCAACCTGCAATCTTCCATCAAACGCTTCTGTCCCGCAGGTGGAATGAATGGCACACCTGGCTCCTCGTTGGCGTACTTCGCAAAGATCCCGGGGGTCAGCATAGCAAACTTCTTGGAGAGGATGTTGACGGGAGGAATCGTGATCAGTCAGGACTGACATGTCTTGAACCACGAAATCACAATTTGCCGACAACACTTCATGCACTGCTGCTGCAGAACCACAATCTTCAGCTATCATCTGATCATGACTGCAAACACTGCTAGATGAAATACGAGATGACAACTTTCGATCCAACCACTGCTGTGGAGCCATCTGCAACTCAATGATTCCATCAAGACCGCACTTCCGCCAACGACCCGAAATAGCCCTCGGCCATCCTTTTGGAATCAGTGGCAGAATGAAGTGTCCAGCGCTCATCTGGTCCAACCTTTGCGGAGGGACTTCAGCTGAAAGAAAGGTGCACTGTAAGGTTTTCGCTGCAAAATCCAATACACCTCCAACTGCATCTAAAGAATCACGACCCAACAAACATCCCAAAGTGCCAACTGGTACCACACTGATCCAAATCAAAATCAACTTGCCACTCACCAATGCCGGAACCCTCCATCGTCTGCTTGATGTCACCAAACCCCCATTGCCAAATCTGAAATTCTCTTGTTCATCATGAGATTCAATCAAGTCCATAATCCAGGATGGTGACATTCGACGCAGCTCTAACATGTATCCATCTAACCACTGAGGTCCAGCACAGGTCCTGTTGCAAGCGCTGTCGAGGGCCCCGACGAGATGTTTATCGTCGGCCAAAACCTGCAGTGTCGATACAGATGCCAAAGTGGAATGCTCTCTCGATGGAGTGGTGGCAAACAGTGCTTGGTCAAGGGGCATCCCAAATAAACCATCATGAGAAACAACGGAAGCTTCATGTAGATCTTGAGACTTACCAACCAAATCAACCTTGGGATCACTTTCAATATGGCCATCAGGAAGATGATCTGCATGGCATGCTTCACTAATGCGAACTTGACGTGGCTTCTGCTTTGCCGCCGCAACTGAAGTCTTTCGAGCCAAACCGGCACCTGGTTGTTGACACTCTTTGTCTCCGGCCCAATGTCCATGCAATCCGCAGTCGAAGCACGGATGTTTTCCACTGGCCTTCTTGGAAGAAGGCACATTCACATTGCCTTTTGTCGATCCAGGTCCACCTTTGTTGAAGCCTCTATCCTTTCGAATTTCATTCAGCCTCGAACGGGCCTCTTTCATGGTCACCAGCGTCTCTGCCGCCTGCTCGAAGTCTGCCTCAAGTTCTTCGAGCACCTGAGCATCGATGCCGCATTCTTCAGCATCTTTCAACTCCGCAGCAAACACCTCAGCTTCATTCATCAGATACTCCTCCAACGCAGGAGCATCTTCTGCAACCGGCTCCTCAGCGGCCGTCTCATACACTTCATCAACCTCAGCTTCAGGCTCTTGCTCAGCTTCAGTTACAAGAGCTCGGCGATATCCCACCGATGAAGCTGCAGCAGACATAGGTCTCTTCCAAGAGGACCCAGAAGAGCTCGGCAAGGACCGACTTGGAGCCGTGGATGTAGCACTTGAAACACCGCCAGATCTGTTGAAATCAAACATTCTTCGCACTGTCAACTTCGGTCTGAACCCATCCTGTGGAGCTTTGCGGTAAAGAGGATCAGACTGATGAAGATCCTTGAACAAGCGTAGAATCTCAGCTTCGATTCGGCCATACGATTCATCGCCTTGCAGGGCTGTATCCAGAAGTTGACGCCTCAGTGGGTCCAGTCCCAATTTCTCTCGAAGAAACCAACCCAACTCAGCATCCTGGATGATTACACCCTCGGACTTCAAATCAGCTACCAGTGTCCGAAATCTGGTTGAAAACTCAGAAGTACGCTCACCAGCTTTTCGACGAAGGTCCACATAGAATTGTTGTCTAAGTTCACCTCGCTTGTCAAGCTGTGTCCTTCCATTAATGGATTCCAGCGCATTCAGAAGCTTATTCAACCCACAAAGGTAATCAGCAGGAACTAATTCAACTTCTTCGCCGCTCTCTGGATCCACCCCCATCTCTGCCGGCTTGTATGCCAGTTCATCCGGATCGAATTCTTCGCCTCGTTGACGAACAATTCCTGTCTGACGAATCAACCACCTGGCAGCTAAGTTATACTTTGCAGTGCTCTTCAGATCCAGACTGTGAAGCCACCATTTCATCTCTCTTCTAAACTCACGCCATGTAGCTGGGCTTCCATCCCATGTAGGCACCCGATACCAAGATCCAGACTGCCCACCTGCATCGCCATTTGCTTCAGCCATAGTAACAAAAGTCCTTCAAGGATATGTCACTTATCGCTCAGCTGCAAAATGCAGCTGTTCCCAGAAAATCGTTGTTCAACCTTCCAGGGTGAAATCACAGCAGAAAGGGTCAGTGAAGGAAAAACTCACACCGAATCCAATCCCTGTAGCGTTTGGAGTTTTGGGCTCAATTGCGCAAGGCCCCAGCAAAGCAAGCTCCGGTGCCACTGTAAATGATCAAGTGACTGACAACGAAAGCAAGGCAGACGCAGTCAGTGCAGCTTTTCACATGGGTCGCGTAGCGATTGGCTGAAGATCTATCAGCGGGCATTGGGCCACAAAGGCCATGAAAAGGAAGTGTCAAGCCATGCATGCCAATGAAATGCATCAACACAAATTGAATCACCAGGCAAATGGTGTGGAATGACTTTCCGAATGACCATCCTTCAGGGGCTTCCCTCTAAGCCATTCTAAGCCACACCTTGGCTTCGTCGTCATTGATTGCAAAGTGGAGGTACTGCTTCCACGACGCCTGCACGGCAAGTCAGAAAGGGCAGCGCTGCAGAACTGACAGCACGGATCAGAAATGTCATTGGGACTTTGGGGCATGTAGCGACATGCCGAAAATTACGTGTGGGTGAATCAATGACGTCGTCGTGAGGAAGAATAAATCAAATGAAGGACCGCGGCCTCATTCGCATCCGGGATCACGTTGTCGCCGTCGCGGTTGTCGCGGTCGCACCTCTGGAGCGGGCGTGCAGTAGGAACAAAGTTGCTCCTGCCGGGTCAAATGGGGTCAAAGCAGACCAAGTTTGCTTCAAAGAAAGAGGGAAAACTGAACTTCACAAGCGCAATGGAAAATATGGAACTTATGTCAAAGCCCTCCCCGGCTCCCAAATTGCCGCGAGAGCCGCAATAATGGTGGAGAAGATCGGTTCCTGAGGTTCCTGCCCACAATGGTCAAGAATGAGCATGACAAACTTCTTGCCGTGCCTGTCCTGAGGAGCGTCATCACTCTTGGGCATGGCTCAAGGGACTTCGAAACTCCGGCTCTGAACCACAAGAGGCAAACGGCTGCGCACACATGTAAAATAAGTAAAGCAAACACACAAGTCAGCCTTGTGACTTGGATTGCCGGCTCTAACAGAGCAGACATAGCAACGACGGCTGCCTTTCCCGCCTCAATGCAACATTGGTTGACTGCAGCATGTGAAGCTGCAGCATGTCCAGACATAGTCGATGGCCTTGGAATTGGAAACATGTCAATCATGATGGTCAAAATGCTACAGGCTGCGGGAAACTGCGAGAGCCAGTCAAAGGAACTAAGTCAGTTTGCGATCGCTGCCCGCAATGGTCAGGCCTCGCAAAGGTTGCCCCAGAAACGGCAGGCTTCTTCATACTGAAACGCAGCCTGCCAGAGTTTGCAAATTCTTGTACCAAAAATAGGCCCAAGAATCAGGCTAGAACGCAAGCCTGGTTCGGCCACAATGCATTTTTTCTTTCTGGCCATTGACGCTAATCAAAGGAACTGAGAACAAGTCATGCCTTGCGATGGTACGCCTCAGCAAACAACAGAATATCCTCAGAGTGGTCGACTGCTTCCTGCAAGAGTTTTAAGCGCGCAGTGGGCAAAAAGCACTGGCGTAAAAGAAATGTGTAGTTTGCCACGCGATTCCATGGAAACAAGTTATGAATGTAATCACTGGCATATGCATTGCCTCCCGTCCATGGCTTGTCTTCTTTTTGGGCCTGCTCCTCTTCAGATTCTTCAGATCTAGCTGCAGCAGCCAGATCTGAAGGCCACGGCCTGGGCGGTAACGCCACTGCCTGTTTCCAGAACTGCAGCTCCACCGCCATTGCTCGCCCAGCAAAGGCTCTCGCTGTTGTTTCTTTACCACAACATGAACTCTATGATGCTCAGTTGTTCACGAAACTGTTTTCTACGGCTGCCTCTAAACCCTAAATCATTGGCCCTTGCTTCCCAAATCAGGAACTCGTTGTTTTCTTAGATTCTGTGCACTCGGTCTCTACATGAAATCAGCAAAGCTTGACCACAAGGCTAGCGGTCAGCATGTTCAAGAGTCCAACATCTCTTGCGACATTCCTATCCAGCACAACTGACTATTGACGTGCGATACCAGAATCGCTTCGCAAAAACCAAAAAAGAGTCAAGGGTCTTGAATGATCTTTGTTTTGGATGTTGTGCCTAAAATGTCAACTGGAAAATGAGCTGTCAAGAGTTATCTAGGTTCAAGATAGGTGTGGTTATAGATACTTAAATCCTGGTACGATATACCCCTGGTACGATAGGTACGGTGGTACGGTACGTTGGTACAATGATACATATATGTATGGTACGATGGTACGATTGTACAGTAGATGATGTATGGTACAGTGGTACGATACTTTGATGATTGTTAAATCTTGAATTTTCAGATTGTGAAAACAATCCCAAAACAAACCATACATTGTCGACGTCAAGAAAGCATTTCAGTGATTATATGTTTATCAATAACGGCGCATACGCACATATATGTATATTATATTTACTACACACACACATACAATTTAATCTAGTAACTACTAGTACAAAAATGATGAAATTTGATACACATTGCTGAAATTTGAAAAGATGTATTCTACATATTCTATGACATAGACTAAACCATATGATATGTTTAAATTGGTAACCTGGTAAACTTATTAAGTGATTGACAATCAAACTAGTTTTAAAATGTTTAAAAAAAACTAACATATATTTTAAATATATAATATATGAGATGTTGAAGCTAACAATATTTCTTAACAATATTTCTGGAGCTAACGGTTGTTTGACTGAATTGCTAAATTTCCGATAAGGATACTCACAAATCACACAACTATTTCCAGCAATTGATTGAAGGTCTTTTCTGACAGCTTTGCTCGAATATTTTTTGTAAAGGACTTGATGGCGTGTTTTGTGCCTTGCAACATGACGTGAATTTAAGGCTTAAACCAGTACCGAATGGAACGAGGCTGCCTTTAACGGTACGGCATCTGAATGGAACGAGGCTGCCATGGTGATTTGGTGCTGCGACACGATCCTCTCACCGCAGTTGCGCAGGACGAAAGCCAGCTGCAAGAGGACACGAGCAAGTTCGCAGTTGGCAGTGCAGAAAAGCAGGCAAAGTCACGGTCCTCTCACCGCAGTTGCGCAGGACGAAAGCCAGCTGCAAGAGGACGCGAGCAAGTTCGCAGTTGGCAGTGCAGAAAAGCAGGCAGTCATGGTTTTCAGCTAGTTTCTAGTCAGTTCAGACGTTAGGAACTCTGGGCTGCCGGCCTCGGGCCCGATCCGTCCTTCACTGCCATGGTGATTTGGTGCTGCGACACGGTCCTCTCACCCCAGTTGCGCAGGACGAAAGCCAGCTGCAAGAGGACGCGAGCAAGTTCGCAGTTGGCAGTGCAGAAAAGCAGGCAAAGTCATGGTTTTCAGCTAGTTTCTAGTCACTGCAGAAGGTGACGTTAGGAACTCTGGGCTGCCGGCCTCGGGCCCGATCCGTCCTTCACTGCCATGGTGCTTTGGTGCTGCGACACGATCCTCTCACCGCAGTTGCGCAGGACGAAAGCCAGCTGCAAGAGGACACGTGCAAGTTCGCAGTTGGCAGTGTAGAAAAGCAGGCAAAGTCGTGGTTTTTTGGCAGTGTAGAAAAGCAGGCAAAGTCATGGTTTTCAGCTAGTTTCTAGTCACTTCAGAAGGTAACGTTAGGAACTCTGGGCTGCCGGCCTCGGGCCCGATCCGTCCTTCACTGCCGTGATTTGGTGCTGCAACACGGTCCTCTCACCCCAGTTGCGCAGGACGAAAGCCAGCTGCAAGAGGACGCGAGCAAGTTCGCAATTGGCAGTGCAGAAAAGCAGGCAAAGTCATGGTTTTCAGCTAGTTTCTAGTCACTTCAGAAGGTGACGTTAGGAACTCTGGGCTGCCGGCCTCGGGCCCGATCCGTCCTTCACTGCCATGGTGATTTGGTGCTGCGACACGGTCCTCTCACCCCAGTTGCGCAGGACGAAAGCCAGCTGCAAGAGGACGCGAGCAAGTTCGCAGTTGGCAGTGCAGAAAAGCAGGCAAAGTCATGGTTTTCAGCTAGTTTCTAGTCACTGCAGAAGGTGACGTTAGGAACTCTGGGCTTCCGGCCTCGGGCCCGATCCGTCCTTCACTGCCATGGTGATTTGGTGCTGCGACACGGTCCTCTCACTGCAGTTGCGCAGGACGAAAGCCAGCTGCAGGACGCAGCAAGCAATTTGGCGGTGCAGAACGGCTAGGAGTTTCGGAATCCCTTTGAAACATCTTACCGGAGGATTTACATGTGTTGACAACATGTGTTAATAAAGGATCCCATGCTACAAACACCTATTACTTCAGAAACCCAGGGTGGAATTGATTAGTCTAGGGGGTGTATGTTTAGTCCTTTCGGAAACGACTAGGTTTAGTACAGTCTTTTGACTCCCGGTATATATATATATGGAGATCATCTGTACATCTGTGCATATATACATATATATATATCTCTCTCTCTCTTTCTGTCATCCGTCGACCCCAGCCGCCGATACCTTCTCGGTTTCATCTTCCGTTGCTTCTTCCCGGGGTCGGCGGCAGGGGGCGGCAGCCCTTTAATTCGGCTCCGCCGGCTCCACACGAGTACGCTGACAAATGCGTCACGAGCGTCCCAGAGCGACTAGAGCTCTATGGTGAGGCGCGCCCCAAGCCGCCGACTCTCCGACGCCGGGCCCCGAAAAACACCAAAAATCCTTCAGGAGGGTGGGGGAGAGCTTTTTGGACGGAATCCGGGTCGCTCACAAGCGTCTCCAAGAGCAAAATCCCGCCCCCCCCGTTTGGAGGGTACCTAAAATCGGAAAAAAGCGCCGTTTTGACACATTTTTCGGATGATTTTTCGCTTTTCGAAAGTCACAAAATGCTGTAAATTACAGCATTTTTGCGTTTTAACGTCTTTTGCGGGAACAATGCAAAAATGCAGAAAATGCTGTAAATACCAATACTTTTTTAGACCAGAGATGCACAAAACACTGCAAATACCAGTGTTTTTGAAAGCCAAGCAAAAAAACACTGTAAATTACACGTTTTGGCGGGATGATCGCAAAAAATGCTGGTATTCACAGGGTTTTTGCAATTTCAAGACAACGTGGAAGGCACGAAACACTGTAAATAGCGGTGTTTTAGCCACTTTTGGACGCTGAAACGCTGGTATTTACGCAGTTTTTTGCCTGTGGCGGCGCCAAACCACTGTAAATTACAGCATTTTCTTCCCTTTTTGAACCGATTTTTTGCGTTGATGAACGCAAAAAACGCTGGTACTTACGCGTTTTTCAAAAAATCGAAGATCGTGACGTGAACGAAACCGTGTAAATAACAGTGTTTTAGCCACTTTCGGGGACTAAAACTGTGGTATTTACGCGGGTTCTTGCCATCTGACAGCGCAAAATGCTGTAAATTACAGCACTCAGTGCGCTGTTTATGTTCAATTTTTTAACCTGCGATGCTTTCACCTGTTCTTTGCATTCTTCCACAAGAAACAATGTTGCAGATTGAAACTGGACGACAGCGTGACCCGAAAGAAAGCTGGATGGAGGAGTCGCACAGAAGCTTTTACACACAGACGCGTTTGCACATAGAAGCTTTTACACAGAGAAGCCTTTACACAGAGGACCTTTTACACACAAAAGCATTTGCACACAGCAAGCTTTTACACACACAGGGGCTTTTACACGGAGAAGTCTTTACACAAAGGAGCTTTTTACACACAGAAGGTTTTACACAGAGAAGTCTTTACTCTAAGGAGCTTTTGCACACAAACGTCTAGGAGCCTTTACACACAGAAGCTGTTACACAAAGAAGTCTTTACACAGAGGGCTTTTTACACACAGACGCGTTTGCACACAGAAGCTTTTACACAGAGAAGCCTTCACACAGAGGAGCTTTTACACACAAAAGCATTTACACACAGCAAGCTTTTACACACACAGGGGCTTTTACACAGAGAAGTCCTTACACAAAGGAGCTTTTTACACACAGAAGGTTTTACACAGAGAAGTCTTTACTCCAAGGAGCTTTTGCACACAAACGTCTAGGAGCTTTTTCACACAGAACTTTTTACACGAAGAAGGCCTGACAGAGAGAGTTTTTACACACAGACGCGTTTGCACACAGAAGCTTTTACACAGAGAAGCCTCTACACAGAGGAGCTTTTACACACAAAAGCATTTACACACAGCAAGCTTTTACACACACAGGGGCTTTTACACAGAGAAGTCCTTACACAAAGGAGCTTTTTACACACAGAAGGTTTTACACAGAGAAGTCTTTACTCTAAGGAGCTTTTGCACACAAACGTCTAGGAGCTTTTTCACACAGAACTTTTTACACGAAGAAGGCCTGACAGAGAGAGTTTTTAAAAAACAAACGCGTTTGCACACAGAAGCTTTTACACAGAGAAGCCTTTACACAGAGGAGCTTTTACACACAAAAGCATTTACACACACAGGGGCTTTTACACAGAGAAGTCTTTACACAAAGGAGCTTTATACACACAGAAGGTTTTACACAGAGAAGTCTTTACTCTAAGGAGCTTTTGCACACAAACGTCTAGGAGCCTTTGCACACAGAAGCTGTTACACAAAGAAGTCTTTACACAGATATATAGCTTGCACACACAGACGCGTTTACACACAGAAGCTTTTACACAAAGAAGCCTTGACACTTCACACAGAGAGTTTTTACACACGGAAGCTTTTACACACAGTGAAATCTTTACACAGACGTTTCACACAGAGACACTTTCACACACAGAAGCTTTTACACAAAGAAGTCTTTACACAAAGTGGTTTTTACACACGAAACTTTTACACACAAAAGCTTTTACACAGAGAAGTCTTTGCACAGAGGCGCCTTTACACGAAGTAACAAGTTGAAATTGGCAGCAGTTCTTCGGGAAAAACCCTTGGCAGGAGCTTTCGGGAACTCACTTGCTCCCCAAAAAAGCCGTCTATTTCCAACAAAGTTCCTATTCCATGAACGTTTTTCAAAAAACATAAGGAATATATTTCTGAAGCAGGTCCCATCCAAAAGCTTTCAAGCCCACACTGCGATGAAATGGAGGGTCGAGAAATCCGGCGGAGCCGACGAGGGGCGTCAGCCGTTAAAATTCGGCTCCGCGGCTCCACACGAGTGGCTTGCCCCACGAGCGTCCCAGAGCGACTAGAGCTCTATGGTGAGGCGCGCCCCAAACCACCGACCCTCCGACGCCGGGCCCCGAAAAACACCAAAAATCCTTCAGGAGGGTGGGGGAAAGCTTTTTGGACGGAATCCGGGTCGCTCATAAGCGTCTCCAAGAGCATTCTCCCCCCCCCCGTTTGGAGGGTACCTAAAATCGGAAAAAAGTGCCGTTTTGACACATTTTTCGGACGATTTTTAGTTTCTCGAAACGAACAAAATGTTGTAAATTACAGCATTTTTGCATTTTAACGTCTTTTACGGGAGCAATTCAAAAATGCAGAAAATGCTGTAAATACCAATACTTTTTAGACCAGAGATGCACAAAACACTGCAAATACCAGTGTTTTTGAAAGCCAAGCAAAAAAACACTGTAAATTACAGCATTTTTGGCGGGATGATCGCAAAAAATGCTGGTATTCACAGGGTTTTTGCAATTTCAAGACAACGTGGAAGGCACGAAACACTGTAAATAGCGGTGTTTTGGCAACTTTTGGATGCTGAAACGCTGGTATTTACGCAGTTTTTTGCCCGTGAGGGCGCCAAACCCTTGTAAATTACAGCATTTTCTTCCCTTTTTGAACCGATTTTTTGCCTTGATGAACGCAAAAAACGCTGGTATTTACGTGTTTTTCAAAAAATCGAAGATCGTGACGTGAACGAAACCCTGTAAATAACAGCGTTTTAGCAACTTTCGGGGACTAAAACTGTGGTATTTACGTGGGTTCTTGCCATCTGACAGCGCAAAATGCTGTAAATTACAGCACTTTGTGCGCTGTTTATGTTCAATTTTTCAACGTGCGATGCTTTTCACCTGTTCTTGGCATTCTTCCACAAGAAACAATGTTGCAGATTGAAACTCGACGACAGCGTGACCCGAAAGAAAGCTGGATGGAGGAGTCGCACAGGAGCTTTTACACACACAGGGGCTTTTACACAGAAGTCTTTACACAAAGGAGCTTTTTACACACAGAAGGTTTTACACAGCGAAGTCTTGACTCTAAGGAGCTTTTGCACACAAACGTCTAGGAGCTTTTACACACAGAAGTTTTTACACGAAAAAGTCTTTACACAGAGGGGTTTTTACACACAGACGTGTTTGCACACAGAAGCTTTTACACAGAGAAGCCTTCACACAAAGGAGCTTTTACACACAAAAGCATTTACACACAGCAAGCTTTTACACACGGGCTTTTACACAGAGAAGTCTTTACACAAAGGAGCTTTTTACACACAGAAGGTTTTACACAGAGAAGTCTTTACTCTAAGGAGCTTTTGCACACAAAGTCTAGGAGCCTTTACACACAGAAGCTGTTACGCAAAGAAGTCTTTACACAGATATATAACTTTCACACACAGACGCGTTTACACACAGAAACTTTTACACAGAGAAGCCTTTACACAGAGAGTTTTTACACACGGAAGCTTTTACACACAGTGAAATCTTTACACAAACGCGCTTTCACACAGAGCAGCTTTCACACACAGAAGGAAGCTTTTACACAAAGAAGTCTTTACTGAGAGAAACTTTTACACACAAAAGCTTTTACACAGAGAAGTCTCTGTACAGAGGCGCCTTTACACGAAGTAACAAATTGAAAAATTGGCAGCCGTTCGTTAGGAAAGACCCGCTTTCGGGAACTCACTTGCTCCCAAAAAAATTGTCTTTTTCCAACAAATATGTTCCAAAAAACCTAAGGAATATATTTCTGCAGCAGGTCCTCATTCAATAGCTTTCAAGCCCACACTGCGATGAAATGGAGGGCCGCGTAGTCCGGCGGAGCCGACGATGAGCGTCAGCTCAAAAATATTCACCTCTTCAAAATCTGCAATGCGCTCTATTGAAATATCTTGAAACTGGTTTAGTTTTTGCAATTTTGACGTATACTGATGCCCCCGGACACGCCGCTTTATTTTCACTTTGGCCCTTTCGGCTTTGCCCCGACCAAGGCTTCGATCCAAAGGCCTTTCAGAAAGATGACAACGGCTTATGACAGCTTTGCATCAAGCATCAGCGACATGCAAAAGAACATGAATGAAAATAGGGTTGAATCACGTGCAGTACAGTATATTCAGTATGTAAATATATATATATATGGTATATACTTGTGTACATTATTATTATCACTACTATTATTGCTATTATTATTATTGCTATTACTATTATTGTTATCATTATCATTATTACTATTATCATTACCATTAGGTTTTATATATATATGTGCATATGCATATAATATATCTAAAATTATCTAAATATACATATGAATATATCATATTTGAATACTTATATGTTGCAGTTTGATGACTTTAATGGGTATGCTGCAGTATTTTTCATCCAGGTAGGGGTTGCACTTCTTGGGGCGGAGCCTATGCATAAAGAGCCAAGATGGAGGTGCTGGAGTGCACGTCGTGCCCCGTCTCAGGTGCCTGTGATGAGCTGAAACTCTCGCTTTCACCAAGACACCAAGCTGAAGAACACACAAAGAAGGATTCAGCATTGAATAGCATTGAATAGCAAACCGGACAAAGCACCAAAACTTCTGTCCAAAAACTGTCAATGTGTGTCCAGAAAGAATACCATGGATCGGTTATAAATTGGTATCCAAATAATGCCAACATGCGTCAACACACATCAGAATTAAATCCGATTATATAAATGTATTATATACAGTAAAATCTGTTTAAATGATCTAAAATTTAAAGTGATCTAAAATCTAAAAATGTATCAACATGGTTCAAAAGGTGTCATGTTTTGCTAGCTTTGAACCGTTTTGTCTGCGAATAGTTCCTGTGCCTCGCCGGAGGCCACAGCAACAGGAACACCCTTGCTCGGCCCAAGCTCGCCATGAGCGAACATGCCAAACAGAGGGACCTCGGAGCACAGCTGCACAGACACATGAAGCAAGATCAAGCAAGATCAAGCAAGATCAAGCAAGATCAAGCAAGATCAAGCATTAGACCAGAAGACATGAAGCGCAGCTAGGAAGCACAAGATGCGCAGAAAATGCAAAACGGACCAGGCTGAATGAGAGCGAAACATCTATAGTAAAATAAACTTGGAACTGAATAAAAAACTGACGCCAAACTTCAAGGCATCCTCAGCAAGACCAGATTCATCCTAGGTCCTAGGGTAAAAAATCTTCAAATCCGGAATAGGCAGAAAGTGTCCGCTTTCGAGCAGATTGCGACCACAACTGTGTGTCACAACACCCAGTGAATGTCATGTCCAATCTGTAGCACAAAAAAACCTTTTTGACACCTTTTGACCACCAAAGGATGTCCCGCTTCAGCTTTGAAAAGGTTTGCCAATCAATTTGGCAAAAATGCACCGCATGAAGCTGGAGGCAAAGGCCCCTGCCCCATCCAATCCTCCACCTGTGGGGGCAGACAAATCTACATTCAGCTTGATTTTATTTCATGCCGCAAACATGCATGCAGTCTAAGGATGTCTAAGGGGAAGTATCAGAATAGCACTGCCTGGGCAACCGGACTGGCAAAAGCCTCTGGTTCTACCCCATCCGCCATGTACTTGTTGTAGCCTCTACCTCAAAATAGAATTTGCACAGGATAAAAGAATCATACTTGACAAAATCGCAATACCCAAGTCTACAGAACAGCTCAGCGCAAATGCAAAAAAAATCCTGTCATGGCTTAATTGCAGGGAAATGTCTGGAAATGAGAAAGCGACAATTTCTGTCTTAAGCGAGAAGGAAAAACTCTGGATTGGTCTAGAGACCAAGACATATAAGACATGGAAAAGCAGAAACGCCTGGGTTCTCCAACAAAAGCAAGGGAAGTATCCTGCCGCGTTGGCTTTCGCTGGCAGCTGTTTGGCAGCGCTGGCAGCCACCTCTTTCACTGCAGCTACGGTGCACATGTGGCGGGTGAATCAATGTGGCAGAAAAAACATGCTGCAGCACTGCAGCGGCCGAGAAATCGACCAAAGGCCAATCACGCCAATCCAAAATTTGGCCCTTCCAACTTGCTCACAACTTGCTCACAACTTGCGCACAACTTGCTCACAACTTGCTCACAACTTGCTCACAACTTGCTCACAACTTGCTCACAACTTGCTCACAACTCACAACATCTCACAACGTCTCACAACATCTCACAACATCTCACAACATCTCACAACATCTCACAACATCTCACAACATCTCACAACATCTCACAACATCTCACAACATCTCACAACATCTCACAACATCTCACAACATCTCACAACATCTCACAACACCTCACAACACCTCACAACACCTCACATCTCACACATCTCACAACATCTCACAACATCTCACAACATCTCACAACATCTCACAACATCTCACAACATCTCACAACATCTCACAACATCTCACAACATCTCACAACATCTCACAACATCTCACAACATCTCACAACATCTCACAACATCTCACAACATCTCACAACATCTCACAACATCTCACAACATCTCACAACATCTCACAACATCTCACAACATCTCACAACATCTCACAACATCTCACAACATCTCACAACATCTCACAACATCTCACAACATCTCACAACATCTCACAACATCTCACAACATCTCACAACATCTCACAACATCTCACAACATCTCACAACATCTCACAACATCTCACAACATCTCACAACATCTCACAACATCTCACAACATCTCACAACATCTCACAACATCTCACAACATCTCACAACATCTCACAACATCTCACAACATCTCACAACATCTCACAACACCTCACAACACAACACCTCACAACACCTCGCAACATCTCACAACATCTCACAACATCTCACAACATCTCACAACATCTCACAACATCTCACAACATCTCACAACATCTCACAACATCTCACAACATCTCACAACACCTCACAACATCTCACAACATCTCACAACATCTCACAACATCTCACAACATCTCACAACATCTCACAACATCTCACAACATCTCACAACATCTCACAACATCTCACAACATCTCACAACATCTCACAACATCTCACAACATCTCACAACACCTCACAACATCTCACAACATCTCACAACATCTCACAACATCTCACAACATCTCACAACATCTCACAACATCCTCACAACATCTCACAACATCTCACAACATCTCACAACATCTCACAACATCTCACAACATCTCACAACATCTCACAACATCTCACAACATCTCACAACATCTCACAACATCTCACAACATCTCACAACATCTCACAACATCTCACAACATCTCACAACATCACAACATCTCACAACCCACAACATCTCACAACATCTCACAACATCTCACAACATCTCACAACATCTCACAACATCTCACAACATCTCACAACATCTCACAACATCTCACAACATCTCACAACATCTCACAACATCTCACAACATCTCACAACCCTGAATTTGCGAATGCAATAGCGAATGCAGAGGATTGAGGGGTTGCACTCCATCGATGTGGCCGATGCCACCATGCCCACGCACAGCCCAGAAGCGTCACGGCAAACTGTTACGATTGCTACAGCATTGCCTCTTCGGCGTCATCGCCGTCGAAACTCACTATGGCTGAAGAGGTAGAGGATGATACCTTCAAAACTCATGCTGTCTCCATGTAAGCACCAGGAGCTATGGTGATGTTCAGTCTCGTCAGAGCGTTTCCAAGCTGTGTCACCTCGGTGGCCCTATTTGACTCTATCTGGGCTCTTCGTCTCATGTTCTTTGCTTGCAAAAACTCGCAAAGGCTCTGGCCACAAATTCATCAATAGGAACCAGGTCACCGGAATGCTCCAATTTGTAGCAAGCCTTCAAGGGAGACAGCATGTCATTGGAAGCAGCAAAGTGTCACGACTCTGACGTTGAGGATGCCAGTATTCAATGACATCAATGACCCATATTTGTACGCGGCGTCGAGTGAAACCGGTCATAGCCAGTGAAAGTCCACTAGACGAATGAAACAAACTCGTGATGTCACTTTTGATCAATGTGGGGTTGTCTCTTTAATCAGGAAGTGTCACTAGTTACTAGCAAACTCTCTGAGTATTTCAGGACTGCATGTTATCTTCATGGGTAGAACTCAGTAGATAATGTGTTTGCCTCCATCGGTCCGAAAGGAGGCGTTTCCTCCCGCAGCATCTTGTGTTTGATTGAACCAATCATCCACCAATACCCGTTTCATCCTCCCGCATCTTTTTCGGCAGCTCTGCCACGCGGTGAAACTTCGCCAGCGCCAAATGAAACCCAAACTTAGAGAACTGCAAGCAGCTTTGGCAGCGCCGTTACACAGGGTACTGAGTTTAGCGGCAAGGAACGGCATGTTTCCAGAAATCCAAAAAGTAGAGCCCAAATTTGAAATTCTGGATAAATCGATGATTAATCGATGATAAATCTGGTCAATTCTGGTCAACTCCCCTATTCTCCATTCAAGTCTGTGGAGCCTTGGCACCACTTGGCCTCGCTGTCAGGAGTCAAAGCGAGTCAAGCCGAGATCATCTTGGTCAAGGTACTCGAGAGGAAGACATCGTTCGTCACCTCGGACCAAGGGCCCAGCAGAAAAAACATGCAGGAGTCCAGGAGGTTTTAATTTTTGAATACGGTTTTGTAATGTTTTGTATCGATATTTGTTTTATGTTGTCAATGATCAATGATTCTCCCGGTGTCCAGGAGAGCCGCACAAGCCACAGGGCACCCACAATTCCCACAGTGGAAATCAATCCATAGGCTGCATGGTCAAAACATGATCTCAAATTATACCAACATGGTTTGACTGTCATTGCTTCCAATCAATTGTCGTAAGTGCAAGAGACATACAAGAGACATACAAGAATGAATTTGTCATTGACCAAGGCCATGGCAAATGCCTCTAGGGTTCACTGGATTTCTTTGATCAAAATTGCAAGGCTCGGTGAAACTTATCCGAGTAGCTTGCGATAATAATTGAAGATCCAGAACTAAATTTCTTTTAGCCAAAATCCCGGAGGAAATGAGACGATTCAACAATCTTTTATGAAATCCGAGAAAGCGCCTCCCAACATCTACTTGCCAAACTGCACAAACACATTAAACACATCCAAAGAAAGTCTTGAGCTGCAACTTGGTGTTTTGCAGTTGAGAAACATGTGGGGTGGTAACGAGGAGAAGTCCTATCCGATACCTCCAAGAAACCCAAGCATTCTCCAGGTCGAGAGCTGCATCATTAAGTCCTGTCTGCAGGACAGATTTGAAATGGATGTAGACAGGATGTTGGAAACGCATCAGCTGTATCGTATCTGATTCAGAGGTTCTGGTCTCGGCCTGCTTGCACAACATGCTGGTGTGTTGAAGTGTCAAATCTTTCAAGAGTACAGCCAGTTATAGAAAGTAGTTCTAAGTAGTTGTAGAAAGGTTGCGATTGGCTCGACCACATTTCCAATCCTGTGGCATCACCAAGTTGAATTTTAGTTCAAAGTCCTCATATCTTCAAGCATACCACCACTATCATCGACTATCAATGATCAGCCTTGGTTTGGATTCTGGATTCGGATGCATTCAAAGGCTCGAGGTCATGGTGGTCATGCTGGACGCAAAAACGTCCTCAGCGTTTGCGTTGATGTAACCGCTCAAGAGCAGCTTGTTGCCGGTCTCAGGAACAAGGCGGGCCGCACTTGTCCAAAGCTTTGATCGGTGTGCCCTAGACCGTTCGAAACAGTCAGGCCAAACCAACCCTTACGTCCACCAACAAAGAATAGTTGTACATAGTTGTATATATATATATAAATATACGTATATATATATATATATGGTTGTTGATCAAAATTCCTTCATCCCGGAACGGCCATTCTTCGCGAACAAAAAATTACTTTCGCGAAACTTTCGCGAACTCCATGTTTATCTTTCGCGGGGCCTATGTTGGCCAACAACACCTCTTATGAAGATTCGTGCACCACCTGCCAAATTACGCCAGAGAATCAACGATCACTTCTTGGTAGCCTTTTAAAATCTTTTAAACATGCAGCTAGCATCACGGAATCCCTTCTTAGGACAGATTTTTTGCAAAGTTTACTGGCCCACCCCCTTCAACCTGCACTTTGACTTTCGCCCGCTCTTTCGCATAACTTTCGCGGAACTTTCGCGAAAATATCCCTATTCACAGACCCCGGCCATCAGCAGGGGGTGCACTGAAGGAAAAGCGAAGAGCAGGGGCCTTGGTGTTTGGCTCTCGCAAAGTCTCACTTTTGGAAACTTGGCTACTGCTACTCTGCTACTCGCATTCTCTGGTGCCCTTCTCCGGCCGGACCCCGGGCGGCAGTGGGTGGCAGCCCTTTACATAATGATTATAATATCCAACTTTCGCGAAACTTTCGCGAAATAAAATTTTACTTTCGCGAGGGTTTCCAACATAACATGCGCGGCTTTCGCAATTAAAACTCCTTACAAAGACCTTTAGATCGATCACCATATATATTGTGTTGTACAGGTTGCCTCTGTGGCAAAACCTGAAACTGCAACTGCTTGCAGAATACAGTCTTAGAGAGTATTACGCAGAACATATCAGAACATGCTCCTCAGTGACTCCACAGGACTTGGAAACAAGCCAAAGCAGGATCAAAGAGGAGGTTTGGTGGTGCGTAATGAAAAGGAGGAACCCAGAGGAACAAAAAGGTACGACCAAAATGCAAATAGGAACGACAAAGTTTGTTTCTTTACATGCCGCTACAACAAAAAGAAACCTCACAGGGCTGTTTCGGTCAGAGTTTGACGATCAAAGAACTTCAGGAACTTGCGCAGTTGCACTCTGATGAAATTTTGCTTGACCAAAATCATTCCCGCCTTTGGGCTCTGACACCACGCGGCCTTGCAGGGTTTGAAAGTGCTACTCTTACCGTATGCCCTTTCCAAAGATCTTGCCTTTTTCTGTGCAGATTCATTGTAGCAACTCAATATATCAGAACAAAGCCAGCTGGTATAAACCAGCCAAATGTAAGTAAATTTTGGCACTTCAGGAAATATAAATGTGTTCAATTTGGCAAGATGCGTTTTTTCTTCCGGCCGAAGTCGTCGTACTCCTCGCTCTCGCTGTTCCATTCCTTACTCTCTCAAACGGGAAAAAAAGGCCATAGACCCAAAATGACCCACTTGGCATCAGGGACAGCACATGTCTTTACTCCCAACTGAGTCTTTGATGCTAGATGCTAGAGACAATTGCATGCGTCACAACGGCTCAGACTCATGTGCTTATATCTTTCTTATCCATTGGAGCGTCGTATAAATAGCTTTCCGAAAAAATGTTGCTAACTTCGCTTGGAAATTCAACTCTTTGACTTGTGCCTCCTGGAAGACGACTCAGCCATGCACACAAATCCAACAGAGGCCGAACTCAACTACACACACAGACCAAGTAACTACGCACTCAGATCAAACTCAACTACACGGATATTACACGGACTTACTCACCGAGCCACAAATCTCTTAGTTCTTCCATCTTGGGGTAGGGTGGCGTGGGGTGTAAGGCTCACTTGCACTTGCACACGCAATGGGTGTTCTTCACCAGGTTCTTTTGCTTCTTGCGCAAGATTTGTTTCACAGAAGTATCTCAGAGAAAAGTTGGATCAGAGAAGTAACTCAGAGAAAAAAACTCAAAGAAAAAACAGAAATAAGTTTGAAATAAATAAGCTCAAAAAAAAGAGATAAAAAGAGACAAAAGGGCAACTTCAAACTGTCCTTGAGCCGCGAGGCATTCGCTGATGCTCTTTCCAAGGCAGACATGCACTCATTCAGACAAACATTCCTTCGGTCATTCAATCCATCAAACAATGATGTCAGTCAGCAATCCCTACTATGCTCTGTTATAAGCCTTTCATTTCCTATAAGTACCAACTACACATTCTTGAGACGTCTGCAACGGAAAAGCCAGGTGCTGCCTGCTGGAAAGAAACAATTTCTAATATGCCACATCGTGTCCGCAGAGTTGGTTTCGCGCGTACTCGTGAGACAAAATCGGCATTGTCAACATGCTTGCTTGCCTCCGCCGCTATTCCGATGACGACTTCATTTCACTAAAGCAAAGCTTCGCATATCCGACGAAGGTGTCAACTTCATCTTGATGACAAACACTGATCTGATTCAGTAATTCAAGACCAGTGATTCATCCTGCAATTTTTGACTTTGTCCAGGTACTTACTTGTTTTCTCTCCTCTTTCCGTTGCGACGAAGGGAACAATGCTAAAGCTCGTCACATTTGATGACTTAGATGGAGATGAAGGGGTGCAGGAAAACCCATCAACAATCACAGATTCAAACACATCAATTCAAACCAAATTTCAAATCAATTCCTGTAACTGGGACCTACGAGTAGTATAGCCAGGCAACTCTTTTGTCCTCTTTGTCATTGCGTTCTTTCCAGCCACCGCCTTTGCCGATCTCCCCCTCTTTGGCCCGCAGCCTGAGCGATTTCTACGCCCACAGTTCTCCACAAGCTGTACAACCAAAAAGGGCATCCTCCAAAGGGCCTGAAATATCTTGCGCGCTTGGTTACATGGTCAAGGCCACCAGTTTTCCTCTGCATTTTACGATTGTTCTAAAATTCCTTTGTCTGCAAACGGCCATTCTTCGCGAATAAAAAAAAACTTTCGCAAATCTTTTGCGAACCCCACGTTTGTCTTTCGCGGGGGTCTCATGTCAAAATATGTCGCTAAATATTTCGCAAAAAAAAAACTTTAGCGAACTCAGAAAAACTTTCGCGCGGTCTGATGTTGTAACCCTGGCAGCCTTGGCAATTAAAAAACCTTACATGAACCTTTAGAACGTCTCCCGCATGTTACAATAGAGAGCTTCGTAGTGAAGCAGTGATTCCGCCATGCAGTATATGCAGCGCCGCTGCACTCGAATCAAATGATCCAATAGATCTCAAGTATGCTCTAGAGATCTCTAGAGTGCTCCAAGATCTCTAGGCCTTCTGTAGCCCATTTGTTAAAAAATGTTAAAAATATGTTGACCCATGTTGGCCCCGTCTCTGGAATCTTTTGCCTGGAAGGATGGTGATATCTCCACTACAACCGATGCAAATCCCATGTCAAGGTGCTCTCGGCGGGTTGCACGCTGCTCTGGCCGCAAAATCTCACATTTGCCTTGGAAGATTCGAATCCAGAATGCCACCAGACTGGCCACCAGGGAGAGTGTTGAACAGCACTTTAAGAGACTTTTCTCAAAAAAACATCCTTGCACTTGCCAGAGACTCACCTGAAAACCGAAGGGAGTAATTTGAAGAGAATCTGAAGTCACCGACCCAGGTACTTTTGGCTGTAGTCAGCTGCGTCTCAACTAAAACACATGGGAATGGCATTGCAAAAAGACACCCACCACACCTCACCTGTTAACAAGGCACTACAGCGCTGGTAGAAACCCGGCATGGCGGTGTCGCAGTGATCGCAAATCCATTCTGCCATGTCACACCTCATTCAGCCGAGCAATCAAAGGAACTGGCATCACATTCTGATGTTTGTAAGACGCCGAGATTCACTTGTTAACATTTGTCAAGCATATTCAAGCATCAAATCAGCACCAAGAAGCTCATCTCGACCTGTTCGTAGATTCTTCTGCTGGTTACCGTTCAGCACGACAAGGCCTGGACAAGAGAACAAAAGTCAATAACAGAAACTCATGCTGAAACGCCTGTGGACATCTAGTATATAATTGCTGACCCGTGGCTGGCCTAAGTCTCACAGTCTCGCGCTTCTATCGCGCTTCTCTCGCGCTTCTATCGCGCTTCTATCGCGCTTCTATCGTGCTTCTGTGGCGCTTCTATCGCGCTTCTATCGCGCTGCTATCTGCAAAGTCTGTGCTTTCTTGATAAGTTCAGATTCCACTAGTGCATTGGGGGCCTCCAGCTTCCAGCTTGGCTAAACTGATGGATAGTGTGGGGCAATGGATAGTGTGGGGCAGGTTTTTCATCGAACTCAGCATGGAATTCAAACAATATACAGAATTCAAACAATATACAGTATCCCAGCCAAACGCAGCGAAGACCTTTTCAAGTTCCATGGCCAAACGCTTTCTGCTTTCAATTTCCATAGTGTCGGACGGTGTGGGACAGGGAAGCCGTGGCCGCCACAACGAAAACTGAAATTGTGGACAGGACATGGCAGCCATGATGGCCATGACCAGGGCAGCCAGCGCAGCCAGGGCAGCCAGGGCAGCCAGGGCGCTGTCTTTTGACTTCTTTTTTCCTTTGGCCAAGTCCAAAGCCACGGCCTTGCAGCCCAGCTGCTCTGAAATTCTCAAAGGAAAGCTACAGGAGCTACAGGAGCTACAGGTTGTTCGGTACTTGGGACGCCCTGCAGGATCTCATGATGCTTCCTGCCTAGCTCTCTTGAAAAATATGTGTCATGATCATTCTCAGAATCTGATCATCTGGGTTTGATCATGTTTGATCTATGCCACAGAAAGCACATTCCTAATGCCGCAGACATTACCGTGACAAAAACTTGACAAACGCACCCGAAAACCCCATTGCAGACGGCCTGTTGCCAGCTGCTCATCCAGGAGTTCTGGCAGTTCAGTAATGGTCAAATGTTCAGCAAGGCTTTGGGTTGTACACATCCATTAAGAGCACAGTCCCAGCATCATGAATCACCATACCCGGTGGGACTGGAATAGATTGGAATAGATTAGAATAGATTGGAATAGATTGGAATAGATTGGAATAGATTGGAATAGATTGGAATGGATGTCATTTGCATCTGAAAGGAAATCCAGCAGAAATACTGGCAAAGGGCCGAGTCACGCTTGAGAAAGGCAAGCGGCACAATGAAGCGAGAGAGAAAGATATGGAAAATGGAAAAGAGTGAAAAGAGTCGAAAGAGACAAAAGAGACGAAAGAGACAAAAGAGTCGAAAGAGACAAAAGAGTCGAAAGAGGCGAAAGAGTCGAAAGAGGCGAAAGAACGAAAGAGACGAAAGAGGCGAAAGAGTCGAAAGAGGCGAAAGAGACAAAAAAGACAAAAGAGACGAAAAAAACGAAAGAGTCGAAAAGACAAAAGAGTCGAAAGAGTCGAAAGAGTCGAAAGAGACGAAAGAATACCAAAGAGATCCAAAGAGACAAAAGAGCCGAAAGAGACGAACGAGACGGAAGAGACGAAAGAGACGAAAGAGTCAAAGAGTCGAAAGAGTCGAAAGAGGCGAAAGAGACAAAAGAGACGAAAGAGTCGAAATAGACGAAAGAGGCGAAAGAGTCGAAAAAGACGAAAGAGTCAAAAGAGACGAAAGAGTCGAAAGAGTCAAAAGAGGCCAAAGAGTCAAAAGAGGCGAAAGAGACAAAAGAGACCAAAGAGACGAAAAAGACGAAAGAGTCGAAACAGACGGAAGAGACGAAAGAGTCGAAAGAGACGAAAGAGACAAAAGAGACGAAAGAGTCAAAAGACTTGAAAAAGTCGAAAGAGACGGAAGAGACGAAAGATACGAAAGAGTCGAAAGAGTCGAAAGAGACGAAAGAATACGAAAGAGACAAAAGAGAGCAGAGAAAAGCCAAAGAGTCAGGTCATGCCGTCATCAGTCAGAGTCATAAAGTAGTAAAAGTATGTCAAAGTCATGTTTTGGAGAAATTCCAAATTTTCCAAAACATTTTCATCCATTTGAAATCATTCGACCATATTCGACCCCAAACTGGTGCACATTTTTCCGCCTCACAGGATCACGCGCCCCCGGAGCAGGGGGACGCCTACGAAGAGCCCTCATGACGGCTGCGGAAGACGTGCGGAAGACGTGCGGAAGACGTGCGGAAGACATGGCCCGAAACCATGGCCTGACATACAGCCTGAAATGGATGCAGCATGATTCAAACATGATGCAATCATGCTGCATCTCAGTGCCATGGACTTTCTGTGAACTTTGCAAGGCCCAAGTCTGTCCAAGTCTTCTTTCATCCTTCATCTGATGTTCGTCTTCATTGCGAAATCTGTCTCTAGCAGCCACTTGAAGCCTTCCTCCATGTTCTCCAAAGTTCCGAGCTACAGAAACTTGGCACTGAGATTCTACGCTGCCTTCGCATAGCCTCCGTAGCTTACACCACTTGCAGCAGCTTCCAACTTGGCCTCGGCCAGCAACATTGAAGTCAGAATATTCCCATCTGAAGGCGCTGGCCGGTGATACCTCAAGGTCTTGTTGGCTAGAATTCTACGCTGCAAGACCAGTGAGGACGGTGCATGCGGTAAAAACCCAAAATATGGGAGGGGCTTGTTGTGGGCACGAGATTTTTGAGAATTTATGGGTTTTCTTCCTATCCTTTGGAAATTTAGCAGGGCTATATATTGTGATGTTCCCAAAGAAGAAACTGATCCAGAGAAAAACACACTTTCATGTGCAAAATGCATTACTTCAGAACAATGGTCAATATTGGTTTTAAAATGTGGCAAAATCCAGGAAGAAAAAACACACCTTGGAAAGCAAAATACATCCCCATTATATATATATATATACTTCGACGGAAAATGCAAGATTGCAGTGGAGAAGTTTAGGTCATGCAGTTCCCAGGCAGAATATGTATCCTTGCTTTTGTGGCAAAAAACATTTTAAAACTAGAAATATACTGTTTTGAAGTCTGGGAAAACACTATTCTAGTGTTTCCATGTGATTGTGTTGCAATACTACATCCCATAGAAGTGAGCCACTTTTGAACAACCTACAGTACTGTAACCCTAATTAATCTACAAAGGCTACTTTACTTAGAAGGGAAGGCAACCCCCCTGATTTGTTGAACAGATTATTGGCATGTTCAATATTATCTTTGATATGTCATCAATGCAGTTTGTGCTGGACCAGCAAAAGTCCATCAAACAACCTGATGCTAATATGTTGTCTGTAGCCAGCTGGTCTCACACCAACGCCCTGCCATGGTGCAATCTGTCATCGTTGAAGTTATATTCTAGTTAATAGTGGAAGTACATATATATAATGTTGAATGAACAAGAGTTACAGTTTGAACTGCATGGCACGGCAATTGATCAAAGAACATGCAGCATGTTGAGCTGAAGTCAAAACTGCAGACAATGCATTTGTTCTTTCACTTGCTTTCATTGCCCAAAGAGAAATATGTAGTCCATTAAGTTTTGTTCCTGTGTCGCATTCCCAGAAGACAATGAGATTCATGAGATTCAATCACACTATTTCTTTGAACACGTGTAACACTGCTTTCAAAGAAACCCAGCTGCCCTTTATTTGGACAAGGACACCATTTATTTGAAGGAACAGCTTCACTCACCAAAAGGAAAGTTGCACGTCCCCAAGAAATACTTGAGCATGTTTAGCAGTTTAGCATACATGTTTTTGAATAATGGTTTGTGAAGGGTGCAGCACATTTGATAAACAAATGATGCCTTAGAGGCAAGACCAGGCAGAATGAGTCAAATTTGGCTTAATATTGATCAATCTGGATCCTAAGCATCAAATATCACCAAATCCTCGGGAGAAATTCCAGAGTCTGAACGCTAGATCCAAGTAGTCCCCAAAACATTGTTTTTTGTTGTTTTTGCTTGTTTTGTTTTTTTTGCTTTTTTTGCTTTTTTCCCCACCTGCCAGGTGAGGGTTGTTAGATTTTATGTCAGTCGCCTGCTCCTCTCCTCTCCTCCTCATCTCCTCCTCATCTCCTCCTCCTCTCCTCCTCCTCCTCCTCGTCCTCCTCGTCGTCCTCCCCCTCGTCCTCCTCGTCCTCCTCGTCCAACTGCGACCCGCGATCCACAGTGTTCTCTGTCGGACCTCAACCACGACCATCCATGCTCAGTGTTCCCTGCCGGACCTCAACCACGACCATCCACGCCCAGTGTTCCCTGCCGGACCTCAACCACGACCATCCCCGCCCAGTGTTCCCTGCCGGACCTCAACCACGACCATCCACGCCCAGTGTTCCCTGCCGGACCTCAACCGCGAGTATCCCGCCCAGTGTTCCCTGCCGGACCTCAACCACGACCATCCACGCCCAGTGTTTCCTGCCGGACCTCAACCGCGAGTATCCACGCCAAGTGTTCCCTGCCGGACCTCATGTAGGAAGATATGGGACAAAGAATGTGCAGAAGAAAGTTAGAAAGAATGTCAGACAAGTATGTTATATATTACTTGCAAACTAGATATGCCAGAAGATATGCCAGAAGATGTGTCAGATAGAATGCCAGATAGAATGCCACAAGGTATGCCAAATAGAATGCCAGATAAAATGTCAGATAGAATGCCACAAAATATGCCAGATAGAATCCCAGAAGATTTGCCAGATAATATGCCAGAAGATATGCCAGATAGAATGCCAGATAGAATGCCAGAAATATGCCAGAAGATATGCCAGATAATATGCCAGATAGAATGCCAGATAGAATGCCAGAAGATTTGCCAGATAGAATGCCAGAAGATATGCCAGAAGATATGTCAGATAGAATGCCAGAAGATATGCCAGATAGAATGTCAGAAGATTTGCCAGATAGAATGCCAGAAGATATGCCAGAACATATGCCAGATAGAATGTCAGAAGATTTGCCAGAACATATGCCAGATAGAATGTCAGAAGATTTGCCAGATAGAATGCCAGAAGATATGCCAGAACATATGCCAGATAGAGTGCCAGATAGAATGTCAGAAGATATGTCAAATAGAATGCCAGAAGATTTGCCAGTAAGAAAGTGTATAAATGTCATGGTGGGGATCACACGAAGTAAAGTAATTTTGCTTTTTTGCTTTTTTTGCTTTTTTTTGGAGGTGGATTAAGCACTCTCAGACTCTAAGCTCTATTTCCACTAGAAAAGGCTTGTGTATAGACAGCAAAAAGCCAATATTTCTTTAGACCATGGAAGATATTAGGGAAAATATCGTGTTTTGTTGCGCGCCCACAACAAGCCTTTCTGTAAACGTGTATATATATATATATATGAATATGAATATATGATGTATGTATACTGTATACTGTATGTAGCTTCAAAAGTGAGTTGTTCTCCCATGAGTGATTGCCTGGTTTTTATTGGAATTTCATTGGTTGGTGCACTGCAGTAAAGCCTTCCATCAACGCATCAAAACGATTGCAGTACCTGCCTTGCCGTGAGCTTTGACCACCATGTGAGTTCCGCCGTCCTCCCCTGCCAAACATTTGAGAAAGTGCACTCATGTCAGTTCAGCATGTAGTTGAGAAGAGATTGCGAAATAAACCCATGTGTTGACATCATGGTGCCTCTTAAATCCACCATGGAACCCACAGCTAAAACATACACGACCTGAAGTCCTAGTCATCTCAGTCTCCATCCTGTTTTCCACGTAGCCCTGGTTCTCTGCTGGTACTTTGTATCAATATGTATCAATGCTGTGCGCAATGGAATTAGGTCCACCGGATCTCTCACACTCTGGCCATGAAGATGCGTCAGACTCACACGAAATCAAGGATTGCGCACAGATTTACACATAAAAAACATCTGGCCTCCATGCTGCTTACCTCTGAAAGCAACAACCACCACACCTTCGCCTCCTTGTCCTTGCCGCAATTGCTGCAGTGTCAAAGTGAATCGAAGTGTGGAAAAAGATGGAATGAGAATGATTATAAATTTAATTGTAAGGATTATTTAGGATAGTTTAAGATGGTTAAAGTTTATTATTATTAAGTATTATGAAGGATTTTCAAGGAGTCTATTGTGCAAAACTAGGCGCCAAACCATTCATATCTGCGCACCTCTTACTTCGCCAGAGCTTTCCAAAAGCCATCTGATATAAGAGACCAAAGAATGCCAAATGCCGAAGATGCCAAGGAGGCCGAATCGAGTGCTTTCCTTGCAACTTAACCGTTCCTTAACCGTTTCTTAACCCTTCTGTTGAAAGCTCCTATCTGTCTCCGTGCTGGGTAAATTGCACTTACGAAAACGGCAAACAAGATCTGGGAACCTGGTTTCAGGACTTTCAGGACTTTCAGGACTTTCAGGACTTTCAGGACTTTCAGGACTTTCAGGACTTTCAGGACTTTCAGGACTTTCAGGACTCCGGATTTTGTTTGAGACCTTGCTTCTCCTTGCCATTGGTGACCCCGCTGTTGAGGAACCTTGTCTGATCTTGTCTGACCTTGTGAGCATCTGAATTCTTTCTAAGCCTTGCTCTGGAACATTGGCACCTTGGCGTAAACTTCCCTTTGGCCAACTGGGGAACCTTTCGCCGGCAAATGACTCCTAAACGCTAAACCCTAAAAAACTGCATCACCTCGGCCTTAAAACACCTTCATTCCAGGGAAACCTCAATGCGATATTACAGAGTTGGGCCACATTGAGCCAAATCTGCTGTATGGCCATGGCAAAACGGCCCGAGCTCTCGCTGGGAATCGTGAACTTGCACTACTTGCACTACTTGCACTTGCACTGAGATTCGAGAGATCGGTGGAGCTCAGTGCCCTGGGCCCAGCCTCCAGGGCATCCATATTCTGAGCCTCGTCCTTCCTCCATCATCTCCACATTTTTTTTCTCCTCCATTGAGACTGGAACGGACTCGAACCAATCTACTCTCGGTTCAAAAGGATTATCTTGGAATATCTTGGAATTACCGTCGATTTGATCGAATTGCTCTGTCCTTCTTGTCCCACCCAATGACGCCATAGCAGTCGACAATGTAAACTGGACACCTCAGTGCATGCACCCGTGCCGTGAATATTTGAATGCCTCACCGACCCGATAAATTCAAACGAGCCAGCTCTGGAATCAGCTGCAAGTATTGCAACATATTGACACATTTTGAAACATGTTGAAACACTGACCAATCTTATTCAGTGCAGCAAACTTGCAAATCATGTTTGATGGCGTCCTGGCATATCATGCCACATCCATGTCCTGACACCTGGGGCAGCGCTTGCTTCTTTTCTGCTTGCCCCCGTTCTTATCCTTCTCCCTTCATGTCTTCTCGCGATTCAACACGTGTTTTCCCTGTTTTTGTCATCCCCCTGTGAATTAGGGTAGGTCTCAAGGCCCGAGCTTTATAGCTATATATATAAATGCTATAAATAAAAAATCCCCCCAGACAATCACTATAAAATTCAAAGTGGATAGCACCCTCATGGCATTGAGCCTCTATAAAGTTGAAGTTGGGTACAGCTCAGAAAACCTACCCAATCAGGGGTTATATAAGCCAAAAAAATGTGTTTAAAGTTCATGCCTGGACGTGCCTTGGAAAAATGCTCTGTATTTTCACCTCATTTTCCGATGAAATGTGAACTTTGTAGAGACGATCTCTGTTCAAGTCAATCATAACATGCCCCATTTCCGGGACTCACCGAACCTCAGGGACATTTGTTAAGCAACGCTACAGGAAAAAAAAAACTTCATCTGATAATGCAACATTGAACTCCGGCAAAGAAAGGTTCTGTGACAGTCCAGGAAAAACAATGATAAGCATGTATTCCTTTCACAGGTTGTTTTTTCATGAAAAAAACAAAGCAGGAAAAAACAAAGCAGTGAATAAAGACACTTTTTTATAAAGTTCAAACACCATCGTATACAAAAAAAGAAAAAACCTTTTCAATATCCCCTTCTTGTTGGCTGCCAGATTTGAACTTTTTAGAGGAAAATGCCTCTACAAAATCTAGAGATTTCTGGGTCTACAGAAACACATTTTAGAGAGGAAATAGGCAGGGAAAAATGTTGTCTATTTTATAGTACCTTGAAGCAACTTGATCACCTTAGTTTCTCAGTGACCTCCAAGTCGCTGTCCAAATACGGGCATGTTTAGACAGCCTAAGCCAGTCATAGCCCGTTGCCCATCAGCACCCGAAGCACCCAGACGTAGCCGAGGGCCGAGGCACATGCCATGGATGCCCAAAGAACCACCAGCAACTGCGGAGATGATCTCTGGCTTCACACCCAGTGAGAAAAAGACCAGACCTCGGAAGAGGTTTCAGATCGTCAAAAAAAATGGTTTCAAAGTTTCAACGTTTCAAATGGTTTCAGAAATTCAAAATCCAAAAGTTGACGGAAAGGTACGGAAAAGTGACTTTTGGACTTTTCTTCAAAGGCAATGAAGGTGCGCAGCATGACCAGAAAGTCGAAGCACAAGAGTCTCTCAGCTGTACTGAGGTAGCGGAGCAGGCTGAAATAGTCGGCTTCAGAGGAAGGGAGAAAACAAAGGGAACTATATAAATCGAGAACCTCCCTGTAGCTGCCATCCTGTCATACTATCTATCATTTCTGGAGTTGCCTCCACCATGTCACTTCAAATCGGCATCCGACTAAGACACGAGCAAGAGATGTCAATGTGCGCCGCCAGCGGTGCCACGGCCATGGCGAGCTTTCCCACATCAATCTTTGGACCCGGCACCTGCGCATCTATTTCAACATGTTTCAACATGTTTCAACATGTTTCAACGATGCTTACCATGGGCAATAGCTCCGTTTTGGAATTAAAAATTGATCAACTGCTCGACGTAAATTGCGCAAAGGACACCTGAGATCAATTATCAAATCCAGCTGAACATATGACCGATGTTCACTAGGTTCACTAGGTTCATAGATGATTTGAATTCTTGTCCTGTACTCTCAGAGAACCAAAGTCACAGTGACGGATACATGTCCGGGGCTCCCACCAGGAACGTGTCAATTGCACGGCGGCAAACCGTCGATCTACGTCTTCGAGCTCGCTCACGTCCTTCTCCCAACAGCCCTTCCCAAAAAAAACTAGCCGCTTCCAACTGTTGACATCGCAAAGGCATCTTCAATAGTTTCAACTGCAATTTGGCAGTGAGCGACAAGATCCATTTCTACTCTGCTGAGTTTCTAACTGTTCTAACTCTGCGAAGGTGAAACGAGTGAAAGAAAATTCAGCTCCACCCAGCTCCACTAAGCTCCACTAAGCTCCACTAAGCTCCATGAGTTCATGAGTCTTTCATAGTCTTTCAGTGTCAGCTCAGAGCCTTTAAGATCAGTGCCTGTCCAGCGGAGTCCAGCGGAACGGGTCGTGGTAGAAGATGTGGTATTTACGACCGTAGCTGCGTGGCGTAAATCGCAATTGCCCCCTTAATCCACTGGTGCCACTATCTGCTGCATTGTCATAAGATTTTGCAAAGATCGTCCAATCCGAGCTGACCGAACGGCCCCCTTTCTCCGATGCCTTTGGCTTTTCAGGCAGAGGCAACTCTAAGGCTGCAGCATGACCTTTGTCGCTCCTTATTCAAATTGTGATGAAGATGCTGAAAGATTCCGCAGAATGGCAGTATCCTTTTGGGCACTTCATTGAAGCATACGAAAGCTGTGCACATATGTCTGTCGAAGTACAGTATGTGTATCCATTACAAATGCGATAGAATGCAATCCGGTGCGAAACGGGCGGAAGAATGTACGGGAATATATCAGTCAAGAATTGTAATTACAGAGTACACTGCTATCAATGCCTTCCTCCACAATTAAACATCATGCCACTACAGCATCATATCACCTCATCTAAGATAACATTACTTGAGCGTGCCATTGCCGCGCACTACGTGTGTTTGTACACACATGCAAATAGAAACAGCGGTGAAAGATGTGAAGGACCACATGTACACAGCAAATGCAGCCTTTAGGCTAGAGATGCTAGAGCTCCAAAGCGGAGCTACTCGACTGGGATTGTTGGACGAAAACTGTGACGCGGGAGATCGCTCACATTTAGTGCAACATAAGTAAAATGAGCCAAATTTGCTGCTTGGAACAAAACTGCCCGAGAATACGTATAAATGTGGATGGGAGGCACGCAATGGCACGCACACAAAGAGGTTCAGCACAGTTGGTGTCTTGAATGAATCAACCCTGAAACTTTTGCATTCTGCAACATGAAACACTCTCGCCCTCGCTGCCCACTCTTCAACAGAAACATTCCACCATCTTTTGGTGGTTCCTTGAAACAAAATCTAATCTCTCTTTGGCTGCTCGTTCCCTTGAATTCAATCGACGCAGAGCCTATGTGAGTCTTGCACTCATTTGCACTCCCAGCATCATCTTCACCCAGGTCTTTTTTACAATGTCGAGGAGTTTCTCCTCACCCATCGCATCCTTTCAAGGTGCACCAGGCACATCATTCAACACTATTCAACTCTTTTTGCTTTGATCTTATTCATCTTTATTAATCATTTTTCAGCTTTATTCAACATAGAAGGATGCACTTGATGTCACTTGATATCATCGATTTGGCCTGGTCCCATCTCTGCATAGGTTGCTCTCCAAAGCATCCCCTTCAGATGCCAATTGGTGTCCGAGACAAAATATGAGCAAAAATGTTTGCCAGGACTTCGGAATCGTAATGCGCAATGCGCAACTATTTTCGTACATGTTTGTATACATGTATGGTATTGTATGGTGACATATGATACAACCAGAATATGAAATATTATGAAATATGAAATATGTCCCAAGCGGTCAAGCATGCACTAATAGCGTCAATATCTATTTGCACTCTGGAGTTAAGTGGAATTAAAGAGTATTGCCATGTATTGCCATGTATTGCCAATATTGCGTAAATTGTCTGCGAATATTGCACAACCAGGTGATGCGCCTTCTGAGGCTCCGCATGTTTCTGAGAGAACGGAAACCAATAGAATTCCAAAAAGACGAGGCAAATCACGTCTTCCAAGAGCTGGACCTCCTGGCCAAACGTGCAAAGAACGTGCAAAAAAGGTGCCAAAAAACGTGCAAAAGCTTACTGAAGAAAACAGTCGTGAAGTGGTTTTCCATACATGCGTATTACAGGCTAGTAGAACTGGTATCCGTATTTACGTTTGATAGTTAGCTTCATAACATCTATTACTTCAAGTCTAAACAAACATTGACTTCCTTGGTATTGTGTGTCAATACCTAGGAACAAGTTCTTTCTTAAGAATCTAAAACACGCACTTTGTTCACTGGTAGCTGCGGGTGCTTGGCTCCTTGTCCCCCTTGATGTCTTGCTTTGTGAGAAGTTTTGTGACCCGAGAGGCTTCTTTTTCACCGTAGCCAGCCTGCACATTGGCTCAAGAGATTTGACTATTAGCAAGTCTCAAGCTCAAAAATGCTCAATGCATGAGCCAAGTCCACAGTTTGCTGGCAGTTTTGCGATTCCTTGCAGTCCACTTGTTAACCTGCTTTGCCACAGTGATCCCTTCCTTCACCTCCATATTTAAAAGAGTCTTACAAGAGCTGCCTGTACTCAATCTCTAGTTGCCTCAACACATGTCACAACGTGTCACAACGTCCCAACAACCTGAATTAACCTGGCTTCACATGTTCCACACATGTTCCACACCTTCAGCATCTCTTCTTTTGCAATCTGAGCATGCATCTTCCCCAAGTCCTGCCTGAAGGCGCACGCATATGGTCTGGCCTTGCCTTCCTCCATTTCATGGAACATCATGGAACATCTGTTGAACATCTTGTCTCCATTTGTCTCCCATCTTTGTGTCACTTTGTGTCCTCCACTTTTTGTATCCAGCTGTTCCCTCGGGATAGGAACGTCGTTCAGACACCCACCGTTTCACGTGCTGAGCTCTTGCCGCAACCTGCACCACGTGAGATGCCCACGGAGCAAAGAGCTTCAGTCGCCGAGACATGCGTTGCCCATACAGCCATTCCTGGGACTTGGGATATCTGAGGGGACATCTTGGTAAACTGCAACTTCTACTGCAACACCTATGCCCTACACCTAGTTTCGACTGCATGGACAGTCGAGGATCGAGATGCAATTTGGTCCTGGCGAACACCTGTTCTGCATATCGCCTTTCTGCCTTACACTGCTTACTTTACACTGTACACATTTCCAAATTTCAATCTACAGTTTGCTCGGCAGTAGATTCCCTAAGGCCAGTACATTCCGTATCTACTTTATCCCAAGCCAATCAACTTCCAGACTTTTAAAGTCCCTGTGTATCCTTGCTTCATCCGGCCAGAAACTGGTTTGTTCAGATTCTGATGGGACAAGAATATGCAAAAATAAGAACATACCGTATGTTCAACATACCTCCAAGACAAGTCTCTTTAGGTCTTGTCCCCCTGCCGATGGACTCAGGCAGCTTCTCCTCACCTCTTTGAATCTCATCTTCCCGTGGGTCATCCCAATTGATCGAATCAATGGCAGCCTGGCAAGGCTCAGCAGGCTTAGCTGGCTCAGCTGGCTCAGCTGGCTCAGCTGGCTCAGCTCTCCCACTTTTGCAATGACGAATTCCGTGAATTCCACGCATTCCACAGTTCAATCTGCATGAGTTTTCCAGAAGACAAGCGCACACCCGCTCCACCAAATTTGACAAGAAACGAGTACAGTACAAAGCCTCCGTTGCCGGCGGAGGTACCAAGTTACTCCAAGGCCCACTGAAACCACCGAAGACGCCACGATGACACCCCAGCGATTTGGCTTTTCCATTACACAGCTGTCCACAGCAGGGATTGCCACGCTGCAACAAGATTTCTCAACATTTTCTCAACTAGGTGTACGGCACTCTCTGAAAACTAAGCAAAGCTGCTGTCTGGAAATAATTAAGTTGAAATTCCAATGATTTGCCAATCAAACACATGAGAGCTGCTTGGCATCTATGCTCTTTAGACTTTGATGCCTGAGCCAGGATGGACGGGACCAAATCTGTGCTTGACTCTGTTCATTGGCAACCGAATGGCTGTCCAAGATTTCCTCTTTCGTGCGTTTCGTGTCTTGTGCAACTTGTACTTAGCTGTTGGAAGGATCTGACAGGCTTTGTATTCTCCTGTTCTGCACAGTGAGAACACACAGTCACAGTGGAAACATTGCTTTTATGTTGGCACGTGGAAAACCTGCAAGTCTCTGTCCTCGGGAAAAGGCTGATAGGAGGAAGCCTGCAAAGCAAAAAAAAACGTGAAGCAAAGAATCTGTGCGACTCTTCACTCGTATATTCTCACCATCTCATCATGGAGCTGGCCGAATGTGACCCCAACACAAAGAATAGCGAGCACAAGAGAACCATTCAAGGTACGATTAATGCTTGAAAATGCTGAGTCTGTTCATTTTATTTTTGGATAATTGTGTAATATTGCGTAGAACCTGCTTTTGAGATGCACTTCCGCATCTTTGCGATCCTTTCCCATGCTTAACATTTTGCACGTCCTCCCTCTCATGCAGCACCATGCAACACAACACTGTCATAGGACGCATTGTCTTTAAATGTCTTTAATATATACATCATTCAGGTTGGAGCCTCTCGACTGCTGTCCAAGACATTGCGTCTCAACTCTTTGGTATTTCTGTTGTGAACAACAGAAGTGCCATGAACCTTTAATAAAATGAGCAGCAATGAGAATGCAACAAAGTGAAGGCAGAAAGTGGGACAATGTCGGACATGTCGGACATGTCGGACATGTTGCATTTTCACATGTTGCACGACTGCTTAGTTCGGCTAAGTTGGTCTCGCACTGTCTCTGCAATGTCCCGCAGCCTGAGACCACCACGCTGCGCAGCCCTCTGAACTGCGGATGCTGCGACTCAACGCCCAGGCTGGCCCCGCCCCTTACAGAAAGGCTGCGTGTTGAACCTGCCGCAAGTGCAGAGCAGCATCAAAGTCATCAAAGTCGTCAAAAGTCATCAAATACCCAAGCCATTCATCCAACCCCAACTGGTTCCAGGATTGCGTGGTCTTATAATGAGTCTTATACTAGTATATATGGTCAACACCTTTAGGGTATGGCCATGCTGAGAGGACCAGGGGTTCTACGGTTGGACATGGTGGGCTGGGACATGGGGACGAGGGGTTTTAGGGCAGGTTCTAACGATTTCATGTGACATCTTTAGGGTTTGGGGTCCCAAATCCTTCAAATGTGCTTAGCCAAGTCGTGCCTTCACTCTCGCGCCTGGTTTGCAAAGCTGCCTCAAGCGGTGGACTGGAAAATCGACAATCGACAAGCCTAGCATTGGCTGATTTTTCTGTATTTTCTGTATGATATCAAGGGCGTGGGGCACTCACATCACTATCACGACCATTCTCAACATTGTTGACATCATCAGCATCAGCAGCAGGTGCCTCTTGCAAAGGCTGCCAAAGGCACGGCACAAACGCCATTGCGACAGGGGTTTTACACCGCCGTAAATAAAAACTGCGGCAGAAAAATCGGTTCCTGAGGAGCAACTCAAGCTTGAAAGAAAGATGAAGTAAACAGGATGCCGACAAGACCAAAAGATTACCCTTCAGACCCTTGAGTCCCTTCACCGAAAGTGTTTGGAATGGTGGGAGGACGGGCCTGATCAACTCCTGTGTTTGTGCGCTTCTTTGCGTCTACAAGCAACACCAATGCCAGTCAACAATGGAGCACCGTTTTGCAAACATGCAGTCTGAAATTTTTTGGGGAAGATGCTAAAGGGACTAATTCTTGCAAAACCAGGATTTGAGGACCTAGATAAATTCAATTTTAACAAGTTCTCCAAAAGGACATGTGAAAGGAAGAAGGGGCCACCAAAACCAGGCATCCAGGATACAGCGCAAAAAATGCAGTTTGTGAGAAGCAAATGAAATAGAAGATAGACTGTATGGAAGACTGGATAAGGAGGTTTTAATGGAATGGTGTGAGGATTGGCCCAAGGAGCCTGATCAAAGCCGTGTTTTCGCGTTTTTTCTTATGAGAGCAATTGGCAAAAACAAAAACAATCAACAATGGAGCAATTCGCTGCCAACATGCAATTTCAAGTTTTTTGTGCAAACAGGTGTTAAAGGGGTTACTGGAAAAAACCAGGACCATGGGACTTGGACCCGAAAAAAAAAAATTGACAAGATCTCCAAAAGGAAATGTGAAAGGGAGCAGGGGCCACCAAAGCCAGGAACCCGGCATCCAGCGCAAAGATCAAGACGTTAGATTGTAAACAACATTCCTCTCGGGGATCTCTTGCATATGTGTTTATTTATGTATGTGCGAAGCAGCGGCCACTCTTGTTTTCCTGATGAGCCTAAGGCCTCAAAGTAATGTGAAATGATTCCATGTCTTATGGATTCACATGCAAAATGGTTGGTGACACTTCTCGATTTGTGCGTCTGTCATCCTTTGCGTCTCTGACCGTTTCTCTCAACTGACATCCATTGAAAGTACAAATGAGCACATGCATTCTGGAGGTACACACTGCTAGAAATCTTTTGCACCCCTCCTTTGTTTGGTGGAGCGTCAGTTCTCCAAACAACTCAGTGCATGAACCTCCTCCAGGAATGCAAATAGGATTCATACACCGTAGCCACATCTGGGTTGCCATGAAATCTGGCATAGTCACGCATTTCAGTGAAGCGCTGATTGAGCAACCCAAGAAAGCGATTGCGGCGCTCTGTGTTGTAGAATCCATTCTGGTGGCTGAGATCCAGCAAGTCCATCATCAAATGCTGAATAATGGTTGCATCGCGGTATGATTCCCTGGCCAGTGCTGCATTCAACTGAGTCACAAGGTCATCCTGCAAATTCACCATGCCTGTGGGGCTGCTGCTTGGTCTTTCTCCTGAACCAGAGCCTGCTGATGCTGTCACTGGTGGGTCATCGGCCTGTGAGTCTGTCTCTGATTCCACAGCCTCACCTGCATCTGTATTTTGGACACGTCCTCCACCAAATTGCTGGCGCACGCACCTCATGTAGTAATCTGCACCCATTGTGTTGCGTGACACCAGATTGGCACGCTCAGCAGTGTACATGCATCTCCTCTCATCAGGAGTCAAATCTGTCAGCCTTGTAAACCCTCCAAGTTCCACCAAGCCATGATGAACCGACTCAGATTAATCACTCGCCATAGTGATCTGGCCCTCAACATTGGCCACCCAACCTTCCAGTGCACTCAAGCTTTCCTGTTGACTGTTCAGTCTCTGTTCTTGATTGCCATAGCATCGGTCCCCATCAGCCAATTGGTATGAATGGCTGGAGAGTTCCTCACGCACATCCTTGGCAAACTTCCATGCGTTGTAAATGAAACCGATCCACAACAAAAAAAACACTGCCATCCAGAAAAAGACCCAAAAGTGGCCATCATCATTGGATTGTACCACCATGTCTGCACTGCATTGCAAATCGTCTCCTTGGATTCCAGCACCTGCAACTGAAAGAGGCTCAAGGCCTAGCACCATAATGACTCGGGCCACCGGCTTTGCCAATTTGCTGATTTGTGGTCCACCCGTGTGACGCAAGCTTTGCTGTTCAAATTCTTCTTGTCCAACTCGAAATTCACCATTGCCGCTATGTACTCCCACTTCATGGAGCAAAAGCTGCATGCGCTGTTTGGACAAGGGTTTGTTCCAATGTCAGCAATATTCCAAGTTGTTGAAATCTGTGATATGTCCACATATGCCTGTCTCACATGATCCTGTATCCACAAAATCTTTCCAGAAACATGTTTTGCTTTGCCTGTCCCTTGACGACTGATCAGCTGACGCGTGATGAAGAATCTGTCAGTAAAATGTGTTGGATCTTGGCACCAATCACAAACTCAAAGCACCTTCGAATGTAGATGCCATCGCTCAATGTTGACACAAGGGCATGGAGTTCTGCTTCACATGAACTCAATGACACCACACGTTGTGTGCGACTTGAACCGAACATGTACTGGCCATTCATCACATGAAGGCCGCAGCTTGTAGATCTCCTGTGGCTTTTGTTGCCACTCCAGCCACTGTCTGCATGTGACTCAAGGATCCAAGTCTTCTCCTCTGATGTTTTGCGACGTCCATGGCCTGGCACAGGCATCTCCAGAACAACGCAAAAATCACCTGTACCCTTCAAATAGCCAATGAGTTTCCTCAAACGTTGAAGAGAAACAGCTGTAGGTGAAGACATCTTTTGGGAAAGCTCCTTGACAACATACATGATGTCAGGACGATCACGTGCTAAACCACCGATCTGTAGTGGAAGGACTCTTCTGCTGAAAGTTGTTGTGAAAGATCTTCAAGCTGAATGCTGTTGTCACATGGCACCATCTGAAAACGTACTTTTCCAAACCATTGTTCGAAAGACTGCACTAGCTTGTCCACGCTAGTTCCAGGGACCAAAGCAAGACCATTTAGAATTCTCACCAGCTTGCGCTTGAGGAAGCTGATGGAACTGCCAATGCCATCAAGCTGAGATGCATTGACTGCGTAGCGCTCTTTGAGTTTGGGCAAAAACGTCTCTTTCCAGTATTTGCTGCTTTCAAGAAACATCACATCGTCCACGTGGATCATCAAGGCACATTTGGAATTCTTGCACAAGCAAGGCTGTTCTGCACTCCACTCCATTTGCAATTCCTTTGAAAGAAAATCGTGAAAATGCCAAAACCAATTCTTTGCGCCCAATCTTTGCCTTGGTAAATTCTTGAGCAGGACAAAGTTGCCTGTTGGGAGAACAACTCGTTGTGGTTCCTGTTGGTCCACCATCAGAAAAGCATCTTTGATGTCGACCACACCAAGTGTACATGGATCTCCACTTGGTAGGCCTTCAGAGTTCTCCTCCTCAGCTAGGCGTCCAAGATAGACAACTGGAAGGACATTCATCGTGTGACTTGATGTCGCTGGAGAGAAAGTGTCTGACCTCTTCTCCCATGCAAACTCACGGTCCACCAGGCGTGAACGCCTGAGCCACTTCTTCCCTTGCTCAAAGGGTTTCAAGCGCCAATCATGGACATGTTTGGTTGTCAGCTTGGAGTTGATGGGAGGTCCATTGAAAAGCTCCTCCTCAATCATCACTCCCATGTTCTTCAAACGTTCAGTTTCGACTTTGTCAGCCAAGTCATCCACCCACGACGGAGGTTGTGGTGGCGTGTCATCAATTGCATGATCACTCCACAATTCTGTTGGCATCTGATCAACCTTCACTTGATCTTCATCCCACCATGGGTCTGCAGAGTCAAACTCATTCTCAACCTGCAGATCAGCATCATAGTCGTCCATGGTGTAAAACTCGTCATTGGCCACCTTGACACTCCTGATCATGCTGGAGTATTCAGCTGACAAACGTTCAATTCTTTGGCGTTTCTGTTCTGTCGTTCTGGCTTTCTTGGCTTCATGATCATCTGGAACATCATCGTGTGAACGGGTTGTTGAGCTCATTCTTGGAGTTGTTGGCTGCGCACTTCCAACTGCACTTGAAGGATCTGGGGGCAAAACAACAGGAGCAGTCTCACTTGCCACAACTGGCATTGGAGGTCCACCAGAGGCTGTGATTTCTGGCTCCTCCTCTGACATCTCTGCTTCAACTTCAATAGCTCCTGCAAAGGTCACTGCACCAGGAGCTTCGACTGCAACTGCCTGTTTGTCCCATGCCATCATTCCAGCCAACTCTGCATCTTCTCGAGCTTCTTCTCGTGCTTTTTCACGCACGGCCTCACCTTCCTCATCATAGAAGGCTGAACCTTGAATGGTTCCTTGTGGGAGGCTGAAGCTGGAGCTAATTGGTTCTTTGGCCCGTTTGGTGGGAACAACTCGACCACCAAGCCCTGTTTTGAACTCCCATGAGGCATTCTTGAAGCTCACGTAGAAGCCCAAGTGGCTCTTCCAACTTGTTGCAACTCTGCGCACAGACTTGGTCAGCACGATGTTGTCACCATCGAAGCACACAAAGCTGTCCTGTGCTTCCACTTTGCCAAGAAAAATCATACGTCTCCAACTTGCATCACCCTTGTTGGGCCCACGCGCAAAACCAAAAATGGGCTCCCCATACTGGCAAATAGAGCCTGCATAGCCCTTGCCATACACCAGTTCATATGGAGTCACGCCTCGATGTGGGGCATATCGATTGAGAAGCCAACACGCATGTCTCATACACCAGCTCCACAATGCACTGCTTGTTGAAAATTTCATGTTGAGCTGCTCAAACAGTGAAAACATCAAACTGCCAGTCAATCCACGGATCCTGGCAATGCAATTCTCTGCCAGTGCATTTCCATGTGAATAAGGTGGTGGTGTGCTACTTCGTGTGGGCAATCCCATTCTCAAACGTGTGTCCACAACCAGCTTCAAAAGTTGCCTGGCTGTTGGTTCATTGTCAGTCCGGTACACAACCTCTGTATACCCCAACAACTGTGGAAATGAAACCAGCTCTTGGACCATCAAGCTGTACTGCCCTTTGC